GCTGGACAGCTGATTGCTCCTTTTGTATCAGGCCGATGCTGCCCTGTAAGCTCTACACACTCTTTCTAGCTCTGCCACTTGATGCCTCTCCAAATAAATTAAGCCAAAAGGGGGTACACCGAATCTCTTCCTCAGGCTGAGAATGTGTGTAAAACCTTCAGCTTGGTGTCTGGTGCACAGCAAATGCACACAATCCCATCACCATCACTGTCATTATTACTATCCCCAAAGCTCTGGAGTTCTCAGCTGACTATATTTAGGGATTTACATAACTACATTTACTAATTATTTGTTGTTATTTCTTTCACCCAATCTTTATCAGAACTAGTTTATAGTGTCCTTTCCAGCAGGACTGCTCTCCTATGATGAGGTTGCAGTTGGTCTAGCTCTCAGTGTAAGTGTATCCAAGTGTGACCTATCATCTCTCACTTGTTTTATACAAAGTCCAAACTCTCATCAGCTTTTTGGGCAGCTACATGCTGTTCTAGCTAAAAATTATGAATCTTCTGCATATGAGCCACAGCAAGAGGCTTTGCTTTATCCTTAAGAATACACTAAGCATCGTTTTAGTTACCCATTAGTGCCCTCCTGTTTCTCACAGGATCACCATACCTTAAGACTGCCTAGTACACAGAGGGTTGCTCAACTTGTTCAACTGACCAAAGTGCCACTAACTTCCCAGAAGTTTACTAGCTCCCACACTTACGCAACCATGAACCCTGCAGTGGGGGTGGGAGTGGTACACAAGGCCTCCTGGGAGGCAACACTGAGGAAGCATCCTTGATGCCAATAAAACAGGGCACAGGACAGGAGGATCCTTTTGAAACAGACAGGTGCATGCACCTATCCAGCATGAGAAAAGGAAGCAAGCCAGCCCTGAGGTCTCTTCCCAGGAGCAAGCGCATTTAACTGGGAGAACCTGCATATCTAATCTTCAAACACAGAGAGTGTGCCCACCAGCCCTAGCTTGGTGTGGTTGGAGGCTCCCCAAATGGTCTGCATTCCAATTCTTGAGTCCCTGGACCTGACCTATCATGAGCCTGACATTCAAACTGTTTGAGGGAGGCAAGCCCTGGGTTTCAACAAGCTCCAAATGACAATGTACCTTGGTAGGAACCTATTTCTGCGGCTGCTTTTGGACTGTTTCGCAACTGAGGGATGAAAGATTAACTTCAGCTTTTGCTTAAAGGTGAGGGACTCATGCGCTGTCAGTGAAACAGCTGGCCCTAAAACTGAAGGCAGATACCAGTGACACAGATTAAGAACCAAGTGTGTAAAAAAAACAAAAAAGATACTGACACATGGGACAATGTGGATGAACTATAAAAAGCATGGTGCTAAGAAGCCAGTCACAGAGGAACACAGTGAAGTGTGGTCTCCAGAGGCAAATCCGTAACAATGGCAAGGAAGTTTAAGGTCGGCTAAAGCTGTGGGGGAGAGGGTTGGAAGATCAGAGGATAAGAGCAAGGGCGTAGGGTATCCTGTTGGGGCAGTAAGATTTGTGAATTATGGCAGTGATGGATGCACAACTCTGTACCTTAGGTGGATGAACTGTACTATGGGAATTATATCTCAGTAAAGCTATTTACAAACATCAAGAAATTATTGAGTATCATAGACTGTAAAAATTCACTTGATACCGGTTTCAAAGGGATGTAGTCAGGTTTGGGTTCTGGCAAATTTGACGATGCAGGATCCTTGCTCTATCCACATCCATCCCCAAATATCCTGGGAGGTACACCCTATCAGATTTTTAGATTGAGGTAAATATCAAATGCACAATCTCTGGACGCAAGCTATCGAAGACTGGAATCAGGAATGGAACCCTTGCAGTGTTACCAAACAACCCAAATTCCAACTGGAGTATAGAGAGGTCAGTCTAGAGCCCAGCCTAGTGGTGCTCCACATCCCTCCTGGCTGGTTGGCTCAGCTTTCTACCTTACCAGCCCCATGCTGCATGGCAGGGCAGTTTCTCTTGGATTAACCCCAGTTTTTATTTCATGTTCATTGACAAAACATGAGCAAAATGTTTGTGTGCTAGTTTTCTGAGGGGCAGAGCACAAATTCTGGACTCGCTGGTTATTGGATCTGAGAAATAACATATGCACATACTGTATCCAACAAGAAACAGTGACAAAAGAACACCACGCCAAGTCATCAGGGCACAGGACAGGACATGCACAGGTAAGTTAGGGCAGCCCAAAGATGGGAGTTTCTGAAAGACTGAAGCACACACAGTATGATCGACCTTAAGATGAAGGGAGAGACCAGGTATGAGAACCTCATACAAGAGCACTCACTCCTCTTGCTTAAGAAAACGTAGTAATTACTTTCCCCAACAATTTTACTTTTTAAAACATTACAGCTACTTCTCCTAAAGTATTTTTTAAAGTGGTACAAAGCAGCAATTTTACTGCATCTTTGAATGTGATGCCAAAGTATAGAGCAGGTGTCAGCTATGGGACTGATTTGATTCTGGCTGCTTTAAGTGAAATCTCAACCAAACCAGTGGAAAGATGGAACAGGAGGACACCACAGCAGTATCAAAAAAACCTCTATACCAGCTGCAACAAACATCAAGTAGGACAAGAAGAGCAAGAGCATAGGGCATCCTGTTGGGGCAATAATATTTGTGAATTTTACTCATCTGGTGGCATGGATATTTAATTTTGATTTTAAACTTAGAGAAATGACATTTCTAGTATGTCATTTCTAAGCACAAAGTGTTTATAAGTGGTTGATGTAGTATGCACTGCCCTGAAGGCACAGACTGTTGGTGAGAAATTGTACCTGGCAGACCCACAGGGCATGGATGAGCTCATGTTCAGCCACCACATTACATCTGCTATTTATATGTCAAATTCAGAAAGGCTACTTTAACTGTACTACTGGGTACAAAATATCATATTATTTTACTTTTCAATTCAGTTCAGACTTGCAAAAATCCAAACTTATTTCTTAAGAATCAGCTTTATCCCATTTTGACTTCAGAAAACTGAGGATGGACAGCTCTTCATCTATTTCTGAGACCTTCATGCAAACATCTGTTACTCTTATAACTTGTGCTGGTGATCATCAGGGCTGCTGGAGACAGCATATTTGGAAGCCAACTCTGACACAGCTGGAGGGTGGTGAGAGGGAGAGTTACACATAAAACAGGGTGCTCACACAAGGGAAATTTCTGAAGCATCAGAAGGTATTTGAAACTCATGCCACATAAAATAAGGTGTCATTTTTCTTTATTTTTAAGAGGAAAAGGGGGTATGGGGACAACAATAATTCTCAATACACAGTAGACAAGTTAGCACTGTACTGGAAAAAAAAAAAAAAAGGCCATGTACTTGCCACCAGTCTGCACTGCAGCTTCATGATTAGTGAATTTAATGCCATCTGTCATTTTTATTACTACTTAGCAAACTTATAATTGGCAAAATTAGGGATTATAAATCACCGTAAGTGTCTACAACTAAGTCAAAAACCTACATATCCATAAAAATCATTAAAAATAAACCATAAATATGTGATGCACATTAGTATAACAAAACCATTTTTGTAAACATTTTCTCCAACATAAAATGTGCATGATAAAAAAGTAAAAACACTGCACTCAGTACAAAAAGGGTTATTCTGATTTACAAAAAGGTTCTATTGAAGCTCTGGCTACACCTGGACACACCTGGGCTTTTCTTGTTTTGAAGAGCATTCCCAAAATAGTTCCACATTCCACATGTGATATATCAATTGAATACTGTTTGCTTCTGCAAAATCCCCACATTGGCACTTCTGTGGAAGGGAGGGGGGAATAATTCCTTCCCTAAAAGAATCTTGAGATTTCAATAGCTCACAATCTTTTATGAAGGAATCTCACTGACTTCTGCATTAAACTGTCGCAACTCAATTTGGTTCATAAGGGGATGAGGCCAAGAAGCCCACTCCAGGAACCCATCCCACAAAGACAAACAGCTGTCCTACTTCAGCAAATCAAGCTGACGATGGATTTAACTATGCTCAACTCAAATACTAAGAGAGTGCCCAGGGGGTGCCTGGGCTGTGCCAGCAGCACAGGCAGAGCTGACAGGAGGTTAGACCCCCCTTCACACACCCTCCTGAGGCAAAGTTCTAAACACTCCAAATTCCAATGAGATACTATTTGCATCATGTGCCAAATATCACTTAGATATCTGCCCATCTTTCATAGCTCTCTAAAGGCCAAGGAAGGGGCTGTAATCAACTAAACCATTCCTTCTCCTCTGGATAGGTGTGTTTACCTTGGCATCTTCCATCTATTGAAAAGCCTAAATGCAGAGAGAAGATCAAATCAGGAATCTGATTCTGACTGAAGTCCTTTGGTGATAGAATCTGGCCTACTTCAAGTTCCTTTCACTGGTGGGATTAATTCTTCACCCTTCTCTGGGTTAACTAGATTAACCAACAGATAAGGACCAGTTCTTCCTGCTTTGGCCATTAGCATTACAAGTCACATCATGGAAAAACCCATTTCCATCTCCTCGTCCTTCTAAGAAAGTAAGGCTTTCTCAACTTATCTAGTCTTTATGGGTATGTACATCTGTGTACTTCTTCTGTGTTTGGGAGCAGATGCATTTTCTTTCTTTTTAACCAGATTTTTGTGGTTTAAAGAAGAGCCTTTGGGAAAAATACTGACCAGGAGGATGAGAATGAGAGCTGTTAGAATAAATGTCAAATGAGAGGGAAGCTGGGCAGAGGCTTGGCAAATAGGTGCAGGCAACTGTTACATTTTGGAGGAAAGAGAAAACAGCCCCCATTTTCATGTTATAAAAGAAAACCAGAAAGGAAGATCAAGCCTACAAATATCATGCTTCTGTCTGGGTAATGAAGAACAGAGCAGCTATCATGTAATATTCCCACTTGAACACCAGAGGAAGCAAGACAGCAGAGCCATGGCTCTGAGCACTGTTCCTACACCAAGACACGAGCATCCTTAGAGGAATGGAGAGATGACCAGGAAGCCATGAAACAAATCATTACTCAAGACATTTATTACAAATGTCACGAACATATTCATAAAGTAAAATTAGTTTAAAAAACAGAGAACAAGAGAGCAAGTGAGAAGACAAGAGCCAGGGCTTCCAAATTACACCTAAAACACAGGAAGATGCCATCTTTATGAATAAGTAGAATTAACTACATTCTTAAAATAGTTTTAGTGCATCGCATTTTTAGAAAAGGGACATATCCTCACCCCCAAGAAACGGTTCCTGAAACACTAAACAGTTTGTGTGACTACTCTAACATGACCACTTGTCTGCTACCAGACCCCCAATGGAAAACAAACACATCTCATGTGTTGCAGGCAACAGTTGCCCTTCAACCACTAATGGGGAATCTCATGAAAATAAAGCATTCTGCTTTCTAAGCTTAGAAAGCAAACTGCATCAGCCACAGGATTATTTCCCACCATCATGGACAGTTTTTCTTGCATCTGCTTAGATTTCTGACAAAAATAACAAACCTCAATCTGATAGTTTTGGTATTAAGATTAAATTAAACATTAATGTTTTCCTCCAAAAACAAACTAAATCACCTCTCAATGCATTAAAAACAATGAGGTAGGCAAAAAAATAAACATGTAGGTTGAATTTTTTTTTCTTCTGCAAGTGCAGACTGTGGTAAAACGGTTGTTGCACTTCTAGGTTTAAACAAAAATTAAACCTTTAACTGAGGCAGTGCTAATACTGTCACACAACAAAGTTCTGGCCGTTAATACAAAATGCACACATTCTCTTTTTCTTTTTTCTTTTTTTAGAACCATTTGCACATGATTTAGGCAAAACTTGGTACACAGAAAAACGACTGAATTCTTGGCCAGGACACCCTCCCCCCCAAAAATTCAAAGAAACAAAATGGGACCCCTTAACCCACCCCACCCCAAACCCCACCCACAAAAAAAAGTTATCCTAGTAACTGTGTCTTTCACATTTTATAAATATTAACTTCTTAGACCTGCACCTTCTTCTTTGTCCACATATTGTCACATTACAAAAAAAGAAATGTCATTAAATACATTGTTAATGTTACTATATTAAATCTGCTCTCTGCTTCAGCAAACTGCTCCTTACACCACCACTTTTCACCTCCTTGTGCCCATTGCCAACAAAACTGATGGCGTGTTCATTGTCGCCACCTTCAGACACCCATAGGACAGAGTTATTCAGAGACAAGGAATTCTGGAGCTGTAGGAAAGGGGTTCTTTCCAGTCTGATGCTCAACCCCAAACACTTCTAGCACCGATGGTAGAATCTGAACAGCACCAGCTGCAATGCAGCCTTGATTTATTTTTAAGAGGGGAAAAGAAAAAAACAGGAATAAACTGTCAAAGAGAGGAGTAGGAAGGAAGGGAGAGAGGACCAACACGTGAGGCCTGCACACACAACTGTCCTGGCTACACCGGTGCAGCTCCAAGCTCCAGTTGCAAGGAATTCCAAGTTCTCAGGATCCTGAAGACTTCAGAGATCAGCAATCCCCAGATCACACTGCTTCTACCAGCTCAGAAGAGAAGTCCTGCCTAATGTCATGAAATAAACCTGACTGCTGCCACCAGACCGAACAGAGGCAAAGAACACCTGCAAAAGAAAGAGAAGGTGCAGTTACCAGGCCTTTCAGTACCTTCCAGCACTCCAAACCATACAAACATACCCCAAACACGACATTGAAAAATTTCTTTAATTAATTTAATTTACTTCAGAATCTATCAAAATTGTAGTCCATCACCAAACTCCATGGAAAACACACCACTGCTAAAAAAAAAAAATACAAACTGAAAGAAAGCCAATAACATAAGGTAACATTACCTTGTCATTGCGTTCACATAAGAATTTTAGTCTCTGAGCCCTTTTGTGCATAAACACACCATCCAAGTGACCAGTTTCCACAGATCGGATCTCTATGGCCTTCTCGCCCCAGCCCATTGTCTGATTGGACCGAATATATGCTTTCAGGGAGGGGAAAATACAAATTGTTAAAGGTAAGAAAACAATCTTATGTGATATATATGTACATGTATGTACACACACTCAAACATACCCCTAAAGCCCTAGTACTTGAAGATTTTGTTTTTAAGGATTCTGTAACCTCTAATCTACCTCTGCTGAACTAATTTCCCTCATGCTTATCTTCAGAAATGGCCCACCAAATGCAGAGCTTTAGTGCATGTTTTTATCATTCCAGTCATGAGAGAAGGTAAGGATCAGAAACTCTGAGTAGACAGATACAGGGACTTCACTGCAACAAAACCAGGACAGTCCGGAGTATAAACACAAAGCTACTAAAACTTCCATATCAGCCTCTGTTCCTGAGTGCCAACAGTGCTTCTAGTTATGGCAGAGCTACTCAAGAGTAAGTTTTCTCTCTATATATACTTCCCACAAAGCAGTTAAAACAAAACAAAACAAAACAAAACATGCCGATTTTCTCTGGAAGTCTCAAGGATTAAATGAGAGACTGTGATAACAGTTTTTAAACAGTATGTATGAGCTGGGCTGGAGGTATAGTTCAGAGGCACAGTGCTTGCCTAGCCTAGTGTGCCTAGGTAAAATCCCCAGTACCCTATCCTCCCCACCCCCACCACCATACAAATTACTTGGGAGTTTGTTCTAAGACAGATCTATGATTATCCTATTTCCATGGTTTACAATCTAACTTTCCACTCTTTCACTCCTATTGCCAACAACTCCACTAAATGCAAAATTAGTATGAGAAATAGATGCAGTCTTAGAAAAGACTCCACTTTCATAAATGCTCCCAATCCCAGGTGCTACGTACCTACAGATGTCGGCATCTCTCCCCACTGCAGAACCACATCCTTGGTGATCCTTCCATATGTGTTCACATAAACCCCCTCATCTTCATAGCACACCAGAAGCTCCATCCCATCAGTGTTAGGGAGGATAATAATTGCATGGGGTTTGATGCTACACTGGATCTAGAGAAGAGCAATAGAGCACAGGGAAGCATGTATGTAGCTATTTCCAGCACTGTCACAGTGGTCAATAAGACTGCCTAGTGAGTGCACTGGTACCATATCCCTGGTGACATATATAGGAAAGAGGTAACATTCTGGAAAATCCATGTGACATGTATCCCAAGTCTACTGTTTACAGGTCATATACTCCACTGACACATTTCCTCAGGCCCCTGAAACTCATTTGAGTAGTAGGCTCCATTTGAGAACCTCTCCCATCCCATAAGTGTTCTGGTCTGCCAGCAATCACCCAAATTCACCCCATGTTAGTCAAAGCAAGGGCTGAGAAGTTTTCAGCAGGGCTTCAGAGAGCCAGAAAAGGATATTTCCACTTTTCTCAGAGCATGGAGCTAATAAAAATGGTATATAACTTAAATACTCACCCCCACATCAAGGGGAAATGAGGAAACCCTGCTGTGTTAGTTCACTAAGCAGAGTAAAAGGAAAAAGTCAAAACAAAATGAAGCCAGTCAACCAACCATAGAGTGTGGGTTCTTTCTTACATGTGTTGGTAGATAAATGTCATAGACTGATCCTGAATCCACATCAACAGCATGGAATCCAGCACTGGATCCATAGATCACTTTCAACCTCTGGCCTTCCTCAACAGTGAGATCCACTAGTAATGGCTTATGTACCAATTCTCCAAATGACTACAAAGAAATAACGAAGAAAGAAACAGTAAGGTGAAGTAGAACTTATACCTCTCAGATGACACTAGAGAAGCAGGAACCAAGGTACTCAGTCCAGGTAGTGAGGCAACAACATAGTTTTCCATCTGGGAAATTATGTCCTCAATCTCTCCTACCCAGTCCAAGCATTCTGCACTGTCACTTTCTATCTAGTCGTGATAAGAAAAACGTGTAAAGTGAAACAGGACTTTCTGCAGCATAATAGCTCTACTCAAATGCGGGTGGTGAAGAGAGGAGCTGTAGAGAATCATATGCTGAGAATCTGACCAACGCTGTCACCCTTACCAATATGTGCACTATAAAGACTCCTGCTGAAATTTTATGACTAAGACTGATAGGGTGACGAAAGGCTATGATGTACTACTGCACAGCATATATGTAGTGCCTGGCTTTAGCTCTTCATTAACATTAGCACTAATAGCTCACAGGACTGGGATGAAGATGAAACAGATATAAAAAAGGTAATATTTAAAAAAAGCAACTAGTATAAAGACAAGATCACAGAAATTGATGTCATTTCATAATGGGTTATCTTTATTCAATAACACTAGAATTTATTTATTAAACCAACATAATAGCCTCATTTATCCTGCTTCACTAGGTAATCACACACAAGCAATCAAAAATATAAAATTTCCAAATAACTAAAATTTACCCCTCCAATAAAATATATCAAAACTATTTTACTATAATTATTTAGGTCGAAAATTTCTTAATTTCTTGACCTGTGCTAAAATGGTCCAAGACAGTATTCTTATTCATACATTTATATTTAGTATAAACTAAGTTATGAAAGAATTATTAAGAATACAAATAAAAAATGATTGCTAATCTTCCATAGATTATTTCTAAAAAACTGTATTTAAATAAAGACTGTAGTCCACTAAAAATTTATTCATACCTTAGAAACCTAACCACCAGGGCTGGTAGTATAGCTCAATGATAAAGGTCTTGTCTAGCATGTGTGAAGCACTAGGTTCAAATCCACACCTCAAAAACAAACAAATATAACCACCAGAGGTATATCTGTGATCAGTTAGTTACATGACAGTATGTGTGAACTCACAAGTGGAAACAGTCCTAATTTTAAAACATAGTGCTCATTCATTTACCTTTCTGAAACTGTACTTGTAAAATGGCAAAAACATCTTATTTTAAAGTTTGGATGTTTAACTGCATTTTTAGAATTTAATTAAAACAGAACCATATTATACTTATTTTTTATTTTTTCCCACTTAATGCATAATACACAATATTAATAATTTTAATTAGTACTCTGGTGAACAGCTATGCTTTAGAACTGTTTGATCTTTATATGCATCCATGTCTTTAATGGAGGGTGGAAGAGGTGTTTTGTCTTTTCCTGTTACTGTACTAACACATCAGTTACTGAGGGCTTAGAAAACAGTTGACTAAGCTTATTACATTACGTTAGAAATGGCCTCTCTTATGGCTGTCTATTAGCACACAGCTTTATAGTGCTAATTTTAACTGCTCAGATTTTTAAAACTGATCCCTGGCTCTTGGTTGCAGCTTGGATGGATGGTGCTATTTTTAAATGTACTTGCTGTTATTACCTTAAAGGCCATGAATTTGTGATATGGCTTAGGGGCCCACGCATAGACTTCCACAGAACTCTTCAAAGCTATTACAAGAAATTTGATCCTTTCATATTTTACTGAAAAACAAATATAAAAAAAAAAAAGAGAGGCACATTATCAGTATCAACACAGAACTCTAACTTCTACAAATTTTATACATATGTATTCCATTGATTCCATCCAAACCAGGAAAGGGGCAAATTCAGATAGACATCAAGCTATACACTTTCCTTTCCCAAATTCTTTAATGTATAATCCATGTTTTCCCACCTTTCTTTAAATGTTGTATTGGATTCAATTCCAATAGTTTGGAGATACTATTAGTGAATGTTTTCACTAATGTTCCTAATCTTCATAGAGTCCAAATATTGTATTATCAAGGACAATGCCAGGCATAGGATCTTAAAAGTCCTTAAGGCTTAGCATTGCTCCATAAGGATAATGACAGTTAATCAGTCTAGAGACTCCAGAGTCACATAAAAAGAAGTCAAGTCTTCCATGCTGCTTTCCCCAAGTTCCACATGGGCTCTCACAGACTGAGGAACAAGAAGTTAAACCAAAATACTTCTGAGTCGTGAATTCTATTAATAGAAGAATCTGTGCACAAGATGAACTTATCACTCCAGGTCATTTCCTCATCTACAGTGATAATTATTTCTAGAATTCTACCAAGTTCTACACCATAAAAGAAGTGCCAAAATGCATCTCTTTTCAACCCCAAAGAAAACCTGCAACCTTTCCATAGTTGCTTTGGTTCCTTCACATAGGTCCAAGACTACACACGATTTAGTACTCTGATGCAGATACACTGGTGGCTTCTATATAAGCTACTTTACATCAAATTATTATGTGATTCTTTGTGCATGAAGGGGTACTTGTTAACTTGATACCTTTTCTTTATTAAACTCCATGAATGATCACCTGAGTTAAGTCATTAACTTTAAGACAAAAGGATTATAAGAGATTATCCAAACCAGCCCTGTTTAAAAGCATATTCTGAAATGTTGGAAATGCTTTGTCTGTACTACCAATGGCAGACAGATACTAGCCAAAAATGTCTACTAGGCAATTAGAATGTACTAGAATAACAGAAGAATTAAATTTCAAGGTTGACTTAATTTTAATTATCTAAATAAACTTTAAAATTAATCGAAATAAACTGTTCCTTTTTTTCTCTTTCTACATTTTTTATTGGTGCATTATAGTGATGGGATCTGATGTTGCATATTGGTACATGCACACAATATCATTTGTCCAATAGCACTGCCCAGAACTTCCCCCCTCCCTCTTTCCTTTCCTCTTCCCCACTTTGTTCCTTTCCTCTACTAATCTCCCCTTTGATTTTCATGAGCTCCCCACTCCTTCCACCTTTCTTTTCCTTTTTCCTCTTTTTATGGAGGGTAGTGGGAATGTGGGTGTGGGGTACCAGGAATGGAATCCAAGGGTGCTTAATCACTAAGACACTTCTCCAGCCCTTTTATTTTGAATCATGGTCTCATTAAGTTGCTGAGGTTGTCTTCAAACCTGTGATCTTCTGCCTCATCCTTCTGAGATGCTGGGATTACCACCAAGCCTGGCTTCCTTTTTGTCTCTAACTTCCACATATGAAAGAAAACACTCAACCCTTCACCTTCTGAGTTTGGCTTATTTTGCTTATCATAATGGTCTTTATACCCATCCATTTCCCTGAATATGACATAATTTCATTTTATTTATGGCTACACAAATTCCATTATGTCTATACACCACATTTTCTTTATCCTTTCATCAGCTGATGGACATCTGGGCTGGTTCCATAGTTTGGCTGTTGTGAATTATGCTGCTATGAACATAAGTATGCATGTATCACTGTACTATAATGACTTTTAATTTTCAAGATAAATACTGAGGAGTGATATATAGCTGGATCATATGGTAATTTCATGCATAGTTTTCCGAGGAATCGCCATACCCATTTCCATAGTGGTTCTACTAATTTATCATCCTAACAACAGTGTAAATGCTCCTTGGTCTCCACATCCTCTCCACCATTTATTATTGTTTGTATTCTTGATGACTGCCATTTTGACTGGTAAGAGATAAAACCTTAGTGTAGTTTTTATTTGTTTTTCCCTAATTACTAATGATGTTGAACATTTTTTCATATTATTTGTTGACCATCTATATTTCTTCTTTTGAGAAGTATCCATTTAGTTCATTTGCCCATTTATTAATTGGGCTATTTGTTTTTTTGGTGTGATGTTTTTGGAGTTTTTTTTTATATATTCTACATATTAATCCTCTGTCAGAAGAGTAGCTAGAAAAGATTTTTCTCCCATTCCATAGGTTCTCTCTCCAAATTGCGAGTGGTTTCCTTTGTTGTGCAGAAGCCTTTTAATTTGACTTCATTCCATTTATTAACTCTCTTGGCATTATTTCAGCAGTCCTATTGAGAAAGTCATCATCTGTACCTAAAGACTGGAGTGCTGACCTTACATTTTCTGGTCTAACTCCTAGGCTTTTAATCCATTTTGAGTGGATTTTTGTGCAGAGTGAGAAATAAGGTTCTGATATCATTCTTCCATATAGGGTTAACCAATTTTTCCATTACACTTTGTCTTAAAGAGGTTCTTTTCTCCAGTGTATGTTTTTGGCACCTTTGTTGAGGATCAACAGAGGCTTTGTCTCTGTGTCTTCTATTCTGTACTATTCGGCTATATGTTTTTAGGCCAGTACCATGCAGTTTGTTATTCTGAAACAGCCCCCTGTTCTTGATGGCAACTATATTCAAGTTAATGAATGAATGGTGTTATTTATACTTATCTCCAGAAAATATCTGTGATTCATTCTGTAAGAACAGCAGGCTTTAAGACTATTGTTTTGTTCTGATGAAAATCCCAGTATAATATAACACTATTGCCTCTAGCTCCCCTGTAGGATAATCCATTCATGTTTAATTGAGCTGTTATGAGAAGTTCATTAAATTTAGCCTTTAGTTATACCTCAACAAATAAAAGTACATCATAAAAACACAACACAGAGAACCCTCGTCCTCAAATCTACACCAAAGAAATAATACTATCTCTGTATCTCTGGAATCATTATTAACCAATGAGCTGGGTGTTTTAGATAGACTGCAGAAACTTTGCAGTGTCAAGTATCATAATATGCCTGACATTATTATATTATATTATGTTTTATTATATATATTATATTATGTTCCCATATTATATTATGGGAACAAAGGGACTCAGTATAGTATGCACCTGCATAAGCACAGAAAACAAAAAACATGCAAGCAGAGATCAATGTTCAATGAATTCCTAATGTTAATCAGTCCTAGACCAACCTCCTGTTTCAAATCCATTAGAATATATTATTATTCCCATAAAACTTTGCCTTGGCTAAGGTCCATTATTTCCCCTTTTCATATATAATAAAAAATTGACTTTGGTTTTGTTCCTGTAAGATTTCACTTCACTGTGTCAGATTAGGGAGGGGAGGGGAAGAGGGGAAAGGAAGGACAGCAGAATAAAACAGATTATTGCTGTGTGTATATACGTGACTGCATGACCAATGTGATTCTGCAACCTGTACACTCAGAAAAATGAGAAATTATATCCCATCTGATTCAATGTATGGTATGTCAAGATCACTGTACTGTCATGTGTAACTAATTAAAACAAATTAAAAAATTATAAAAAAAATTCTAAAGAAAAATAGATAGATAGATAGATAGATAGATAGATAATAAAAGCTCAATAGGACAGGCAGACTCTCTTGATACCTTGTCTAATCAGACCTATCTAGGCATCTTTCTCTACAGAGCCAGTAAGACATTTGCATATGATGTGTTACTGGTCTTTATCATGGAATTTTTTTTATATACACGAGATCCTTTTTTCTATTCTTTTCCTTTTAACACCAACTCCTTCTCCTTGGATGTATTTTTCACTCACATAATCATTTAATGGTTCTTCCTTATATCATCGTCATCTTTTTTTTTTTTTTAAATGGTGAAAATGAAATTCCAAATCAAGGTGAGAACATTAGAGTAGAGGAAAGGAACAGGGGAGGAAGGGAGGGGGAAAGTGCTGGGGAGTGATATTGGCCAAATTATATTGTTATTATGTGTGCGTGTACAAATATGTAACAACAAATCCCATCAATATGTACAACAATAATATACTAATAAAAAATATGGGAGAAAAAACAAAAAAAGATTTCACTTCATAAAAATCAATGCCTACATACCAAAAGGGGCAGGAGTGGGGACAACAATCAGTTCCCATGAAACATGGACTGGCCAACTAGAAGCGTTTGCTAATTACGAGCATGGCAGCGTTGTGCAGTGCACTTAATTAAAAACAACAAGCCACGACTCTATATGGATCACCCAAGTGTTCTATCATTGATGTCAAGGACCTACAGTCCTCTAAATGAAGAATGAGTTGGTATATAAGAAGGACTCCATGTCAACTGGCTTTCATTTGGCAAGGCTTCCTTAAAGAAATTACTTTGAATCGCATCTTGGTTGGGGGGGGGGGGGGGCGGGGACTAAGGACAGAGCAAGCCGAGGGAACACACTGTTAAGCTCATAGGTACACGTGGCAGTAATACGATGTCTAAATAAGAATTCAAGATTAGAAGAAGCCTTCAAAACAGAATATCAAAAGGAGCCACACGTTTCAGAAGCAAGTTTCAAAGAATACATAATTATAAACTTAAACCCTAATTATAAACTTAACCCTAATTCATCTCTGGAAAAAACAAAACACTTAGGCCCCCACTGGAACTTACCAACTTTATAATGTACACATCCTTCCAAATCACCTACGGTTGTCCACCCTTGCTTCTTTTCAACTTCGGGATCATTGTGAAGTATTTTATTTCTTAACCAGGACAAATAGTAGACACGTAACTTATCCTTTTTGCCTAGCAAAATAAATATAAACAGGTATCATCAATAACAATAGCAAATGAAAGAAACTTCTATGAATACCAAATATCATTTCCAAGAGATTATTTTGCATCTAAGTGTTACCAGAGATTCAATTTAAAAGCTCTTCAGGTGGGCTTTTGAACCTCCTACATAATTATCAATGGGTATATTGCATGGCTAAAAGGAAAGGTTTAAAAATAATGAACTCACACTTACATAGATGGATAGTTACCATTAAATCAGTAGGAATACTGTGACATTGTGAAATACATACTGTCCCTGTTTCCTGGCAAATTCCTTAGAATCTTCAAAGTGATAATGTGTCTATTTGGGTGTTGATAACTGGCTAGAGGCTGGCAGCCCCTGGGTAGCTTCAGAATTGGGATGGCCATCAGGAAGACCACTGCAGAATTAGAAGTTGGGGCCTTTAGCTCTACCCCCACCATCCAGGGAGGGAAGAGTGGGTGAAGGTTAAGTTCATCTTCACTGTCCAATGAAGTCAATCATGCCTATGTAATAAAGGTTCTTTAAAAGCACAGGGCTCAGATGAACTTCTAGATAGCTGAACACACTGGAGATTCCTGAGAAATGGTATGCTTAAACAAATACCAAAAAGGAGCCACATGTTTCATAAAAAAGTGCCCGGAAGTCTTGTGACCTTTCTTTTTTACCTCACACTATGCATTTCTGCATCTGTATCCTTTGTAATATACAGCAAACATCTTTCTCTGAGTTCTGTTTGCCAGAAAAATCAATCAAACCCAAGGAGCGGGTTGTTGAAAGCCCAATTTATAACAAGTTCTTGGGTCCTGGATTTGTAACTGGTGTCTAAAGGAGATATAGGATAGAGGGTCTTGTACAAATGAGCCTTCAATCTGTGTGCGATGTGATGCCACTTCCAGTAGATACTTTCAGAAATGAACTGAATTAGGGGACACTCAGCTGGTGTGACCTGCTGAAGTAACTGCTTGCTTACTTCTCCTCACACCTGTACAACAACACAACCAATAAAGCTTATAATATGCTTTCACATGTATTACACCATCTGTCCCTCAAAACTCTCTAAAGTAGCTGTTTTTTCAATTTGACAGATAAGCACAGGGATTAAATCAATCCCCCACGCAACTGGGGGAAGATGCAAACCACTTGAATAGCTGATATCTAGATTATGTAATAAACTCCTATAAATCAAATAGAGATAACCATATAGAAAAACCAGGCAAGAACTAGAATAGGCTCATATACTTCACAAAGGTGCTTGCAGTTAATAGCTGAAAGTACATTAAAACCATGAAATAAAATTTTAAAACACGTATCAGAATGTCTAGAATTAAAAGGTCAGGCAAAGTGTGGAGCAACTAGAAACTTCATAAACTACTGCTGAGTAATTCTGAAGAGTTGGGCATTATCTATTAATCTAAAATATATGCATGCCCTACCTAAAGTACAATGCCTTCTCTTCTCAAATAATGAGTTTTTTGAATATCCCAATACATCAACAAATGTGTGCACAAGAGCCTCCAGAGAGGAAACAACATAAATCTTTCTATCAATGCCAAAATGAGTAAATAAACTGTGGCACAGTCACACATAGGGACAAAGGGGAACCAACTATGGCTACAAGCAACAAAAATTGACGATAAGCAAGGGCAGCTACACACTGCCAACAGACTAGAGGAAAAAACAGGAGCTATCATATCAAACAAAATCAAAACATACTCATTGGAAAAAACTCTTGGGAAAAAAGAAGGGAACTGCCTCAGTTTGATAAAGCACATCAGTCTTAATGGTTAGAAACTAGATGATTCTCCTCTGATATTTAGAAATATGGGGAGAAGAACTCCTCTCACATCTCTTACTAGACATAATATTGGGTATCCAACCTAATGCCGTAAGTCCAAAACCAAGGGAAATAAATAAGAATTGAGAAGGAAGAAACAAAATTACTATGTTTGTTTATAAGTAAAAAAATACCAAAGAATCAGCAAAAATCAAAACAAAACAACCCACAAACAAAAAATTCCTCAAACTATCAAACAATTATAGTGAAGTTGCAGGATATAAGCTTATTACACAAAAGTCAATGATTTCCCTACATACTAGCAACAAGTAAGTATAATTTGAAATTAAAAATGTCATTTACATTAGTACCAAAATGAAACAGGTATAAATCTAATAAAATAGACCTTTTTGAGATCTATTTGAGGAAAACAGTAAAATTCTGATAAAAAGTTTCAAGGAATCAAATAAATGGAGAGAGATTCCATGTTCATGGACAGGAAGACCCAACATTATCAAGCTGTCAGTTCTTCCCAACCTCATCTACAGATTTAATGTAATTCTAATGAAAATCACAGCAAGTTATTCTGTTAAACTGACTCTAAAATTTAAATGGAGAGACAATGCAGTCAACATAATGTTTTTTTTTTTTTTTTTTTAAAGTTAAGAGTAGACAATTCCTGACTTATACTGCACATCTACAGGAATCAAGACAATGAGGCTGACAACAAAGAGATCATGTGGAACAAAATGAATATCCCCAAATAGACCCACACAATCACTGTGAACAAATCTTTAACGAAGGAACAAAGACAATTCAATGGAGAAAGCACTTTTTTTTAAAAACCTTGGATTCGACGATAATTTTAGATAAAACACCAAAAGCATAATACATCAAAGAAAAAAATTATAAGTTGGGCTTCATTAAAATTTAAAACATCTGCAAAGGACAGTGCTCAAGAGAATGAGCAGATAAGCTATAGGCAGGAAGAAAATATTTAAAAAACACTTATTTGATAAAGATTTCTATCCACTGGGGAATGATATTGGCCAAATTATATGGTTATACTGTGTGCATGTATAACATGACAAATCTCACCATTATGTATACTATAATGCATCAATAAAGAAAAAATATGGAAAAAAAAACTTCTATCCAAATTATTCTAAGAATTCTTAAAACTCAACAATAGGAAAAAAGCATCCCAGTTACCAAATGGCCTAAAGAAGTTCAACACTATATATCACTAGGAAACCACAAATTAAAACAAGATAACACTTGTAGTGCTATCCTATCAGTACCTCTAAAATCTAAAATACTGACAATGCTGAATTCTGAAGGGAATGTGGAGCAAGAGAAACTCTCATTCATTGCCTGTGGGATGCAAAAATGATACAGCTGCTTTGGAAGGCAGCCTGGTAGTTTCTTACAAAGCTAAATATAGTCTTTCCATGTGTCCTAGTTAGTTGTACTTGTGTTTACAAAACACACAAGGTGAAAGCTTATGTCCATGCAAAGAGTTGCACACAAATATTTATACGGCAATTTTATACATAATTGCCAAAGCCTGGAAGCAACCAAAATGTCTTTTAATAAGTGAAGTTATCAAGTTATACACAACTACATACTACATGATTATAATTATATGTCATCCTTAAAAAGGAAAAGCCATGATAACAATAGATCACTTATGGCCAAGGCCTCAAGAGGAAGGATGAATGAGGGGTTTTAGGGAACTTAAACTAGTCTAAAAGGTACAATAATACCAGATATGGGTTGTTTGGCTTGGGATATTTTACCCCCAAAATTTGTGTGTTAGGTAATTTAAGAATGTTCAGAGATGAAATCATTAGATTATGACACCTGTAATCTGATCAGTAGATTAATTCACTACATGGATTCATAACGTGAATGGACTACTGAGTGGTAATAGCAGCAGGTAGAGTGTGACTAAAGTAGATTACTGGGGGGTATAGCCTTAGAATGTATCTCATCTCTGTCTTTCCCTCTGGTCCACCACAGCCATGAGCTGAGCAGCTTCCCTCTGCCACTCCCTTCTACTACAATGTTCTGCCTCACCTTGGACCCAGAACAATGGAGTAGGTTGACCATGGACTAAAAAGCTCTGAAATGCATGCCTCAAACAAAAATTTCCTGCCCTCTAAGTTGTTCTTGTCAGGTATTTTGGTCACAGCAATGCAAAGCTGACTAATACACATGTCATCACATGTTTGTCAAAACCACTAAAAAATAAACCACACAAAATATTTTTCCTAATATAAACTCTATGTTTAGTTAATACTAATGAATTATTATTACATAATAAAGTGTACAAAATGTACCACACTAATAAAATATGTTAATAGGGGAAAATAGGTGTGTCAAAGCTGTGTACATCTTCTCTCACATTACTGTAAATCTGCAATATAGTTACATCTCTTTTAATCAGTACATCAGGAAATGTGCTAAGATTTAGCACATAACGTTAAAATGTAAACAGTGTCTTAGATTCTGCTTTACTAAACAGACTTACCAGATATTGTCACCAAGACATTTAAGCCCTCGAGTACATCCATTTGCTGAAACCGTCTTCGATTGATCAGAGGATATACCTTCCCTTGGCCACTTCTGTCCAGCAGCATCAGGCCACTCTCTGTGCCCACAAGCAAATTCACTCCTGTTTCATGGACACAGAAAAGCCTAAATTTTATGCTGTGCTTAGCAAAGAGCCGGATTGTAAGGAAACGGTAATATTACCTACTTGGAAAACAAGACAGCTTCCTTAATTCATCAAGAAAAAGAAATGCCTATAATAGCAACCAAACTTCCATCACTGTATAGGAGTAATAGGGACATACTTGGCTATGAGAAAGGATATAAGGGGAAGAACAGGGGTGCCTCACCCACTCAATTTCTTTCATAGCTCATCTACTTCCAGTTCTTTAATTCCTCACGAATGTTAGGAGCTCACTATCTCTGTGGCTTTACAGATCTATATCTAACTGGCCACATGAGATACTTAAACAATCCTTCACCTGACAGCATGGTGTCTTCATGCTTTCTTTATCTTCACTGGCAACCTTCTGGGATGAATTTTATATAGATACAGGTTCCCTCAACTCCTTATCAGCTTATGAGTCTACGTTTATGCTCAGTTTAAGCTTTTCTTAAGATCCTTCTCCACAGGCATCAAGACACAACCCAGTTCCCTTGTTTCTCCATCTCTTAAGAATATTAAAATATTGGGAACTTTCCCTAGGACCCATTCTAACTTTCTGACCACGTACTTCCTACTCCTGTGCTGCAGTGGGACATCCCCTTCCATTTGACAAACTTGCTCTGCTTGTTAAAACGGAGACCCTGCTGTTGTTATCTGGATGATAACATACATACCCACCTGTGCATGAGCAGTTTCTCTGAACCAATAACTCCTATTCCACACTGTACCTCCTTGTTCTATCTGCCTGCTTTTCCATCTGACACAGATTTCAATTGAAACCAGCTTCCCCATTTTGCAAAACTAGCCAAATTAGGCACCAAATCCTGGTAAGGCCTCCTCTGCTCTCCTTTCCTTTCCCTATCCTTTGTTCTCACTCCAGTTCAGGCTTTGGCAACCTTGTAATAGATGGACAGAGATCTTAATTCAGACTATTAAGACTTTCTCTTGACTGCACATTAAATCAATTCTCATCTTCCTAAAATTACCCACTGAGCCAGATTGTACCTTTAAAACCCACACACTCTATGGAGAAGAATTTTCAAAAGCCTTAGGCTGGCATTCAAGACTTCTTGTCCTTGAACCACCATAGTTCTCCCTCTTTATCATTCTCTTATTTTCAAAAATGTTCCTGCTTCCTTGCTATAGAAATTTCATTGTCTAAACCACCTCTGTAACATATAGCACCAATTATCTTATACTCTGAGGGAACTAGGAACATATATGCTTGCAGTGATCAACTTTGTTGGGTAATAAACTCATTGAGATAAGGAATAAAGTATTTGTGCTTTTGTAAAGTATTTGCTCAGTCAACACTATCAGGGAGATGGAATAGCAGGGAAGAGTATCATGGCAAGTTCACACACACCCTATTTTCAGCGAATATGAAATGAATAATTGTGACAGCAATGAGAGAACAGCCTCCCAGAGCTTCCTCACAGCTCTGTTCCTGCTCAGGTAGGTATTATGCCAACATCTGATGGATAGTAATCTACCCAAGAATCCTTTGAGGAAACTGGAAAGACGGGAGCCTAGAATTTACATTCATAATTACCATCACTGTTAACCTAAACTCAAGTGAGAATGGCAGTGACTGACACTGCCAAGCACTCAAGGATAACAGGAACAAGCCAAAGCACCACAGGTTAAACTATCACACCACCACACCTGGAGACCTCAAAAAAAAAAAAAAAAAACCTTATGAGTGCCAGAAATATTTACAGTTCCTGATAATAGTATGACCTGATGTAAGTACACAACTGAAAATCTATTCAGCACACAATATATGTCTCCATCTTGCCCTATGGGAATAGTGTACAACTCTAAGAGCATCATGCACACACAACTCCACCCTTCCACAGGTGCTTCCTACCCAGTGTGATCTTTTAAAATACAGTTTTTAGAGCCTGGCAGAATATCAATAGCTTCAAAAAACTTCAAGAAAACCTCAGAAATTTGGGGAAAAGCAGAAGGCTGGGATTTGGAGTGAAACTTAAAAGTGAATGACCCCCACAAAAGATCACCCAGTTTCTTCTATCATCCATAATCTTCTTACAGAAAATACCAAGCTAGACTGTCCAAAAAAAAACTTTCTACAGTGATATAAATGCTTTTTGTCTGCATTGTCTACCAGACAATGGTCACATGTGACTAATCAATCACATGTGGCAACATCAATCTAAATGGCAAAAAATTGGAAGCATTACCTCTAAAAACTGGAACAAGAGAGATGCCCTCTTTCACCACTTCTATTCAACATAGTCCTTAAATCTCTAGCCAGAGCAATTAGATGAAAGAAATTAAAGGGATACAAATAGGAAAAGAAGAAGTCAAAACTATCATTATTTGTTGACAATATAGAGGATCCAAAAAACTCCACCAGAAAACTTTTATAATTAATGAATTCAGCAAAATAACAGGATATAAAAATCAATACCCATAAATTAAATGCATTTCTATACATCAGTGATGAATCCTCTAGAGAAAGTAGGAAAACTACCCCATTCACAATAGCCTCAAAAAAAAACAAAACAACAACAAAAAACCTTGGGAATCAATTTAACAAAAGAGGTGAAAGACTTCTACAATGAAAACTACAGAACACTAAAGAAAGAAATTGAAGCAGACCTTCAAAGGTGGAAAGATCTCCCATGCTCTTGGATAGGCAAAATTAACATTGTCAAAATGGCCATACTACCCAAAGTGCTACACAGGTTCAGTGTGATTCCAATTAAAATCCCATCATCATTCCTTATAGAAATAGAAAAAACAATCATGAAATTCTTTTGGAAAAATAAGAGACCCAGAATATTCAAAGCAATCCTTATCAAGAAGAGTGAAGCAAGATGCATCATAATACTAGACCTTAAACTATACTACAAAGCTATATTAACAAAAACAGCATGGTATTGGCACCAAAAGAGGTATGTAGACCAATGGTACAGAATAGAAGACACAGAGACAAACCCACATAAATACATTCATCTCCTACTAGACAAAGACACCAGAAACATACATTGTAAAAAAGATAGCCTTTTCAACAAATGGGCTGGGAAAACTGGAAAGCCATATGCACCCAAATGAAATTAAACCCCTATCTCTCACCATGCACAAAACTCAACTCAAAGTGGATCAAGGAACTAGGAATTAGATCAGAGACCCTGTGCCTAATAGAGGAAAAAGTCAGCCTGAATCTTCATCATGTTGGATTAGGCCCCGACTTCCTAAACAAGACTCCTACAGTGCAAGAAATAAAATCAAGAATGAATAAATGGGATGGATACAAACTGAAAAGCTTCTTCTCAGCAAAAGAAACAATCAATGAAGTGAAGAGAGAGCCTACATTTTGGGAGCAAATTTTTGCCACACACATGTCAGATAGAGCACTAATCTCCAGGACATATAAAGAACTCAAAATATTTAACACCAAAAAAACAAACAACCCAATCAATAAATGGGCTAAGGATCTGAACAGACATTTCTCAGAAGATATACATTCGATCAACAAATATATGAAAAAACGTTCAAAATCTCTAGTAACTAGAGAAATACAAATCGAAACTAAGATTTCATCCCACACCAGTCAGAATGACAGTTATCAAGAATACAGACCACAATAGGTGTTGGCGAGGATGTGGGGGAAAAGACACATTCATACATTGCTGGTGGGACTGCAAATTGGTGCAGTCTGGAAAGCAGTATGGAGATTCCTTAGAAAACTTGAAATGGAACCACCATTTGACCCTGCTATCCCACTCCTCGGTCTATCCCAAAGGACTTAAAATCAGCATACTACAGTAAACAGCCACATCAATGTTCATAGCAACACAATTCATAATAGCTAAACTGTGGAAGCAACCTAGATGCCTCTCAAAAGATGAATGGATAAAGAAACTGCATATCTTCAGGTAAATGGATAGAGTTGGAGAATATCATGCTAAGTGAAGTAAGCCAATCCCCCAAAACCAAAGGTTAATGTTCTCTCTGATAAGTGGATGCTGATCCATAATGGGGAGTGGGGGGGAACACATGTGTATGGGAAAAATGACGGAACTTTGATGGGGTGAAGGGGAGGGAGGGGGAGGGAGGGGCCATGGGGGCAGGAAAGATGGTAGAATGAGATGGACATCATTACCATAGGTAAATGTATAACTGCACATATGGTGTGATGCTACATCTTGTACAACCATAGAAATGAAAAGTTGTGCTGCAGTACAATGAATCAAAATGCATTCTGCTGTCATATATACCTAATTGAAATAAATAATTAATTTTAAAAATATTTGAAATGTAGCTCATGTAACTTAGAAACTGGGTATTTTACTTTAATTCATTTAAGCAGGTGCTCCCATAATAGGCAGTGTCACTATGGATGATACTGATATTACATAACCTCATGGTATTAAATTAGAGTTTGTGAGTTCTTGTTTAATAGAAATCATATAAATATTAGAGTGACTTAATAGAAAAAGTTGCTGTTCAATTTGAAAAAAAATGTCAATAAGAAAAATTAATATTTATTCCATGAAGTACACTCCACTTATTTTCATATAATTTTACTTGTGAGGTTGACCATGTTACCCTGACTAAATAAGACAAAATTTATTAGACTTATTTCTTCCACATGCCTAGGTGAGTCAATTCTAAATAGCTTTAAACTTCTCTGCACAAAAGACAAACATTCTCTGATAGAGCTGATGCCAAACAGAGCCCATTCTGAAGGCTAAATTATATAGGACATTTAGATATTTTCCTTATCAAGTAGCTTAAAAGTGAAAAACAAAATACTTCTGTCAAGAATATGGTAGTCTACCGAAAACATGAATCATATCAAGAAATAAATTATTTGTGGTTTTCAAAAATAAGTAGCACATAGAGTGTCAACTCCCCAACCTTGTCCTTCTGCCATGACATTTCTGCCTTGCTTTGGGCCATGCCCTATGGAATTAAATGGTCATGGACTGAACTTCTGAAACTGAGTCCAAAATAAACATGTACTCCACTTAAAACAATAAAATAAAATAAGCAGCACATAAGTAGAAATCACAAGATTTTACAGTGGGAAAGAAAAAAGGAATAAAAGATAAAGCTGAAAAAAATCTTTCATATCCATTAAAAACTGCTGATATTTTGGCACTTATATCCTACCTTTTAATTCTCTATTATATTACTTAAAGTGCACAGTCATTGGAAAGTAGCAACCTTGAAAGTAGCAATCTTGAAAATTGAAGGCCTTAAGAAAAAATCTGAACTACATGATTTAATAATATTTAATAATAATACATTTTTAACTTCAACTTTTAGATATAAGTAAATCTTTTAATGCCAATGTTAAGAGCTCCTTCCTGTAATCATTTTAATTGTTCACACAGTAGTTTACTAAGAATTGCAACTGTGTTCATAGGAATCCTGTGTAGGTTGATGGGAGAAATGCCTAACAGTTCTACGTCTCATGATTTAAAATTTCATTTAGGTTCTGAGATAAACTATCATGTTAAAGGTAAGTGCAGACAATTCATTATGAACACAACAAAAAATAATCATATTCAAAATGTGCTAAAATAAACCTGGCTTCAAACAGGGAAAAAATCACAGCACCTATAGACCTAGATACTCAAGATGATCACACACACACACACACACTATTAAATACACATTTATATATAAGAAATACAAAGCAATTTATAGCAATTTATGAGTCATTCATAAGATGATTACAGAAGAATGTTTGTTGCTAGCATTTAGGAAATGCAAAAAAATAACTTGTGTGTGCATTTTACCATTCAAAAATAATACCACCTATAATATATTCTGAAATTTTTCTTGTGGGGCTATAGCACCCATAGCACATATTTTAATTTTTCTGAATCTAAATCTTTCAGAGGTTCCTTTTTAACTGAGGAGGTGACTTAAATCACAGTCACAGCAGTTTTAAAAAACCCATCCCTGAGGTACACCAATCCCCAAAGCATCTCAACACACTTATTTACACAAACGTATTTCAATGTTAATTCATCTCCCTATCTGTTCTTTTAACATGATGATAAAATGTGAAGTTTCAGTGCATTAAAAAAAAAAAAAAAAAAAAAAAAGGAAAAAAGAAAAAATGTCCTAAGATACTGTTGAATTTTCTTAGAAGTCCTGAAGGAGTTAATCAGGAAAAGAAAGATTTCAGAAGTCTCATTTTTAACTAATAAAAATTCAGCTGATGGTATACAGAATGGGGTTCAGAACTCAGAATGGGGTTCAGCACTCTCTAGGGCACTAGTGAAACATAAAGTTAAGAATAAGACTACTCCCAAACACAACTATTCAGAATAAAAATAATGCAGCATGATAAACACGGATTACTACTTTGAAAAGTATTGATTTATTTCACACTATCGCTATACTGTATATAGGTAATGTTAATAGTTTTTTGGGGACACAAATGCTCTCAATGAAATCCTTTAATATGAAAGAAAATGATGAAACTCCACTCCCTGAAATGGTGGCAACTGACATCATGTGACATCCATGTGCTGGTGATGATGCTGTGTCAGGTGCTTCCATAATGCCTACAATCCCCAAAGAGTTATTCTTACCTTTACTAAACTATGTGATTAATAAAGAAAAAAACAATTATATATTATTAGAGTTTTCAGAATACTTTTCCAGTAGTTACAAGGCCAGAAATCCAGATCTCAAGGTATAAAAAAGAAAATAGGTATACCTGCAATGGATATCAACTCTCCCCAAAACCTTGGGTGAGCAGACAAGTAGGAGCTTATGAACAGGGTGAGAAGTCAAGGAAAGACTAAATAAAAAGAAGGTAGATAAGGAGGAATGAGGAGGCCCCCTTCCTCAACAAAAGGAAGCAGAAACACTTTTGAGGTTTGAAAGATGAAAGTGGAAGCCCTTATGTCAGCCCCAACTGTTTTTCCTATGAAGCATCAGGAAGGAGAGTGGCTAAGTATGCCAGAGACCAGAGTGGGTGAGGAGAAGAGAGCCGATTCAGTAACCTGAGGAATGCAGTGGCTGCTAGCATTCAAGAAACAAGACTGTTTATGGGACAGGTGTGGACCTCAAACCCATGGATTCCATGTCTTCTACCATCTATATGTACAAACACCAAGAAAGTAAGGCATTTTTCTGGGTAGAAGTAGACTCATTATTAAAAATAGTCAGCTGAAGAATTAAATTAAAGTATATGCCCGGATGGCAGGTTTAGGACAAGTACAGGATCAGAGTTGGCAGGAAGGCAAGTTTCAGAATTTGAAGAGGCAGATGTGTCCATGCAGCCAATCAATCACAGATACCCTCTCACAGTATCTTTAGTTTGGAGGATGCTACACAAACACGGCAGGGATTCCACAGGCCAGCCGGTTCAACAGTCCCTTCCTGCTGCAGACTACTTTTAAAAGTCTTATTTGGATGTCAGTCCAAAGCACAGAGAACAAGACAGAAAGAGGAATTGAAATATTTAAAGGAAAGCAACTCAATGAACTTTTTCATTCTTGTAAGTGCGGACCAAATGCTCTCTCTTTACTGTTCTTCACACTGGTGTTCTAGCATTTGACTGCTGAAACAACCACAAGTGCATAGGGACTCTCTCTGCCTATCAATGCACTCAGTAGAAAAATCATAGAAGCTGCCAACCCTTTAAAAAAAAAATCACCCAACTATGAAAAATAGTAATTCTCTAAAGACCTGACCACTCTCCAGAATAAAAGCAAGAGGCAGAGTAACAGAAAGATACCTACCCCATAAGGCGGCACATAGAATCTCTGAGTTAAACCTCTTCTTGTATTTGCGAATCTCAGGGGTGTCACTCTGTGGCCTAGTATTGGTGGGGTTAACATTGACCACTGAGCCCTTCCGTGTAGGATCTTGCCTTATGGCTTCTGGTCTCATTCCATCACAGGAAAATCCCACTGAAACACAGTATGATTGAAATTATTTTTTGTATACACATCCACAACCATGCCTTCCTTCCTCTCTCACTATACCTCAAGTAAATATTCATACGCCATAAATGATACTTTGTCAAGAAAAAAATGTTTTTGTAAGAAATGCAAACAGAAAAAGTAAATGCCTATGCAGTTCCCTGTGAGTTAAGGCAATGCAAGGGAGCTGGGAGGTTTCTGCACCCAAGGCCTGGCCCTGTGCACAACCCTCCTGCTGTGCCTAAGCCACTTGAAAGATCAACACTAAGTGAACAAGTCTCTTTTGTCAGCTACTTTCTTACTGCTGCTATACTTACCCACAGAAGTCACTGTTGTCCCACTAGATGGAGAAATCTGTAGTAATCTGGGGTCTATAAAAGGTGTAAAGGAGGAGGAAGATTTGTGTTTCTGGAGTGTGCTACTAGCGGACTGTGTCTGCAATGTAAATTTCAATTTCATTAATACAAATGACATTTTAAAAGTGAACATAAAAACCACCACCACCACCACCAACAACAACAACAAAAAGCCCCACACATATTTAAGTCTACTTTGGTATACTGCACTATTTCCCAATCCAAACCCTACAGACAAAACTTCCCACAGACATACTGCAGTGAGCCTCCATGTGGGCAGGCATACCCCTGAACAGATGTTTTCGCCTGCAGCCAGTGGGGAAATCCCATCTCTTTCAGAGATGTGCACCTAGGGAGCCATGCCACAAGCTAATAATAAAATCTATATTTCATGCTCCTGTTTTTATTTAAATTAAATAATTATAAGGTAAACTCCTAATAGAGGCCTGAAATGTTAATTTCAATTCACTAATTTCCAAATTTATTCCCCTGCCTATTAAAGTCCAATTAATCTATGCTGGAAATCTGGCAAACCTTAATTTTGTTTTATTTATTTTAAATGGAGCCTCTTGCCAGAAAGTTACAGAAGCTTTGGCTGCCATCATTTTAGGCGCATCATCATTAAATCCACACCAAACAGGCTCATTAGTGAAAGGTGCTAATGATGAAATAAGGCATATCCTTTCCATCTTTTAGGAACACTAGTGTTTTGGTTAATAATGTAACTTAAGACCCCCCCCCCCCCGCCAAAAAAAAAACCCACAAAGGAAGTGAAACAATTGTTAAGTGAAAATGTAATGACAATTAAAAACAAAACAAACAGGAAAATAAACTTGCCAGTTTAGTGAGTTAAGGGTTATAGTAAAATACAGTAAAATGGTGCAAAGTGTAAAATATAAGGAGGAATGCAAGTATAGGTGAGATACACATCCCAGGAGCAAAAAAGAACATGTCTGATCAAGTGCTTTTGTGCTTTATCATTTCACTCCCTCTTTGGGCATCTAAAGTCACCATTCTTATAGCCCAGGCTTTCCTGAGCTCCCCACCTGACACAGGTGGCACCTCACAGTCTTTCCTCCTGCCCCATGAGTCAGTGGCCAACCCAGCTGGTGGCCAATCGGATGCTGAGCCTCCTCCTCAGGGAGAAGATTTTTCTAATTCTTTCTAACAAAGGAATGAAAATAGGAGCAGAAGTCAGGTAAGTGTTTATATTAATGAGACTGGCTGAAGCTACATGTTAGTTCAACTTCCCTGAATTCTTAGGTAAATGCATTTAAACCTAATCTCCTGTGAAGTCAAATTACTTATTTACACGGTGCTCAAGGTGTACTCTGTAACTGCACTTAGCCTGATTCTGTTCAAAGTGCAAAGAATCACCCAGCTAGCACCCAGACCAAGTAGCACAGCCACACCACACACACAGGATTTCCCATACAAAGTCTTAAATTAGAAGCTCTCACTCTCCTTTGTCCTTGCTTAACATCCTAATTTTCTATGTTTCCCCCAAAAGCATTTGGCCTTCTATAACACTTTGAGTAACTGTGAATTTCAAGGAAAGAAAAGCCTTTGAAAAGGGCTGGTAAAAACAAGTAAGAATACCAACCAACAACCCCCACCCTCCCAGCAAAAAGAAAACAATCCAGGCCTGTTTGAAGGAGATTCCTTCACAAGATAACCAGTTCCCTCAGGTAAGGCCTAGTCTGCTTAACCAAATTTTCCTATACTATATTTACTGCATAAAAAGAATGAAAAGGGAAGTTTCCACAAATGACTATGAGAATTTCATGCCAAATACATAATGGATCTGAGAACACAGCAATCATTTATTTAGATTTAAAAGAAAATAAACTGAATAAAGAAAGCCATGCAACTATACTTATCTAGAGAAAGTAAATAGTGAACTGGCAAGTTTGGAGGGAAATCAATCTAGGGTTAAGGGATTTGTATTCAGATCTGAAACATGTTACTTGGGGGTTGGGGAAGAGGGTAGGTGACAGAAGAAAGCAAGGGAAGGGAAGGGAAGAGGGTGTCGGAAAGGTCTCCTTTGCAAACTAGCTCCTAGGCTGTGCTGGTCTAACCCCAGGAAAGCAGCCAGCTGTGGTGTGAGACATACCTCATTAGCAGTGAGCTTGTCCTGGGGTGTCTGTGGGGACATGGTGGGTGTCGGCTGGCTGGAGGATGGGGAGGAGGAGGTGGAGGAAGTGGAGGAGGAATGGCTTTGCTGTAAGAGATCTGGCAAGAGGTGAATGCGACCGGCAAAGCCATTGCTCTCATGATGGCTGGCACGCTTTTGGTCAACTGTACTCTGTAGAAAAAACAGGCACACTGGTCTCGCTCAAGCGCTGCTGACATTGCCTACGACCCTACTGATAACTGCTTTGTTTTAGGTGCTGTGTGACTTTTCAAACTCTGTTAAAATACCAAGGGAAAACCAAGGAAATTAGCCGGACTTGCTCACACTTGCTCACCAAATGCCTAAGCTGAGCCAAGAGAATTCAAAGTGCCTCCTCTGGTGGCCACACAGCTCTAGCAGTTGATTCTTCCATCTGTTCCACGCAGGGCACTCACTTCTTATAAGACTACTACCCCTTTTGTTCTTTGTAAATCTTTGTCTAAAGTTCTTTAGAGTACCCGGTGGCTTCCCTGGTCTTTTCCACGTTCCTTCTACTTTCCATCCAAATGCATTGCCGTAGCATGAAACACACTGAGGCAAGTCCCAAAGACTAGCAGGGTGCCCTGTCCTGTTTCAGTGAGGAGCATATCACTTGGATGAAGAAAGTCTAAGCTAAGAATGAACAGAGAGTTGTACGACACAGCGATCCAAACTGAGCACAACTGGTGGTACACATTTAATTCTTCACCTAGTGGGAAAACTAATATTCTGGAGCACAGAAGACAGACCTCCTGACCCGTGTGCCCAAGGCTCCACGGGACTGGAACGAGGTTCATCCCACCCACCTTGTCCACTCCTTCTCAAGGTCTGTGCCCTTACTCATTCAAGGTTTGTGCCCTTACTCTTTGACACCCTATGACTTTTCTACTGCTCAGACACAGACTGTGAGACTCAGCGTGGTGCTTGGATGAGGGCTGCCACAGGCATGCAGAGGACCAGCAATGTGGGGTGGAGGACTACCGGCTACCTTTGTGGCATGCAGCACACACCTGCCTCCCTAGCCCCAGACACACTACTCTCAGGGTCTTGTTAACATGAAAACAGATGATGATGCAGAAACAGCATGAGTGAGTGAATGAGCAAGTGGGTTAATGACTATAGGAGAAGCTTAGCCTCTGACAAGGAGGATAATGGTACCTGGCGGACAATCAACGTGCCCTCCTTGGATGGGGTCATGGCTGGTTCACTTTCTACATCATCGTGGACAATCATGGTTTTCACAGATTCTGTTTCACCATTGCTCAAATTCAGAGATGACCTAAGGAGACAAAATCCAGAAGTGAAGGACTCTATTCCCACAAGTCGAAAATATCCTATTTAGAATTTTTACCTTCTCAAAAGTCAAAACGTGAGATAAGGCTACAGTATAAAGTCTACTGAAGGAAAGCAAGAGTTTAGCTTTGTCCCTTCAACAAAGAATTCTCCTGCTGTGCATTTTTGCATGAGCAAAAAGTTAGAAGGAGTTCTTATAGTTAATTTGTTATTCAACTGAAATTTCCTTTTTATCAAATCATTAAAGAAAAAAATAAAGCATATGTTGGGATGTTGAGGGAGGCACTGACATGCACACATACAGAGATAAAGGGGGAAAGCCCAAAAGCTGTTTGCTGCTTAAGCAGTGAAACTACATATTAATGCTCACAGAGTCTATGAGCATTAATAAGTTGGGGAAAACTGTCTGGTTGCCACTGGGAAGACCATCCTAAAATATGCTAAGGACTGACGCTGCTCTGGTGTCCTCTGGTCCTGAGGTGGACTCGTCAGCCCCCTCCTGTTCCACGTCGTCATCCTCCTCATCGGTGGTCCCTGACTCCTCACTGGAGGAAGAGTAGTCCGTCACCTTGTGAGGTGGCCGCACATCTTCCACTGCTCGAAGCTCTTTGGCCAATGCAGTCAGATCCTAATGCACAGGGCAGAAAAGAGTGAGTCAGGCGAAATGGGGAAGGTGGTAAGAAAACACAAAAGACAGAGGTTTTTCATTTTAAATCTCAATGAACAGTCACAATGTCAGTTTTATAAAACTAATTTTCTATTTGCCAGTTTCATACAAAGTTAAGTTTTTGTAATTTTTGATATGAAAGGGAAAGAAATAAAAATAGACTAAAAAATAGAAAAGAACAAAAAAAGTCAAGAATGTTGCAGACAATTCGAATCTTACAACAATGTAACAGTCTGCTTATAATAAGATGACCGTATTTTTTTGTTGTTTTCAGATATAAGGCAAAACTCCAGATCAACCAATGTACACAGAAAGATCGTTGATCTCTGTTATAAAGACATCTACATATATGACAAAAATGTTCTTTTAAGGGGACAATCCAGAGAGCAAGCTTCTAGTTAAAGCAGGTTTTTATTTAAATTTTTCCTCCAATTTTTAAAAAATTTTCAAGCCAACAGAAAAATGAGAGTTGAAGTGAGGACCAGTGTGATATTTTCCTGTTAGTAACTTGCCGCATTTCTGAAAAAAGTTCACAACTATGAAGAGAGAAAGCAATGACCTCTCATGTGCTGTGGGCAGGAAGGCAAACAGGGCAGGCTTCCCACTAACCCCTTTTCCCAGCCTTACCCACATTTCCCCATTCATACCACTAGCGAAAGTGAACAGAAAGAAAGAAAAAAAAATCCATATTAAAATTTATTCAAAAAGGGCTTCATTACACTTTAATCTAGACTTTTTTATAGACATTTTAATATTCATATCTTTAAAAAAATTTTTAGTTGTTGATGGGCCTCTATTTTGTTCACTTATTTATACAAGGTGCTGAGAATCGAACCCAGTGCATCATACATGCTAGGCAAATGCTCTACGACTGAGCCACAAACCCAGCCCTCAAATTTCTTAATGTAATTTTTTTTGCAAGGGAGGAGTCCTTTTGCAGAGAATAGAACTCTGGGGCACACAACCACAGAGCCATTATCTCCTGCCCTATTTTATATTTTACTTAGAGACAGGGTCTCACTGAGTTGCTTGGCACCTCACTTTTGCTGAAGCTGGCTTTGAACTCACGATCCTCCTGTCTCAGCCTCCCAAGATGCTGGGATTACAGACATGCGTGCCACCACACCCAGCCTCTCAATCTAATTTTTAAGAGTTGATTACTATATTTATACTCCACATTTTTATGCGAGTCCAAATTTTATCTTTCTACTTGGGAATTTTAAAGGAGTATTTTGTTTTGTTTTTAAAGCAGGCCATGTAGCTGTTTTTGTTTTTTTTTTATTTTTTTATTTTTAGTAGTTCCAACTTAGTTTTCTTCCTTCTTACTGATGAGAATATGTTTCTTATCTTTGCGCTTAAGCTTCTGAACACGGATCAAGAGTAGGGCTATGAGTCTACTTAACTGTTGTGATTACAAGTTGTATGTAGCCTTTTATAGTTGCTTAAAAAGCTATATTAAATAATACTAGATGCATGAAGCATGTTTTGTGCATTAACAAAGCTGAAGTCATTAAGTTTAAGGCTTTTATCTCCTAGAAAAGATCAAAAAGGCAAGGTGAGGAAGGAGAAGGAATGTAGCTCAAAGGTGAGCTAGTTAGAGTCGTTCGGAAAGCTGGCTCTGAGGCTGAGCTCTTCAGAGACAGGGCTTACCACTTCGCCCTTCAGGACAGCAGCAGTTTCATGGAGTCCAAGAAGCCATCATTGATGAAGAGTACACAGAAGAGGGAACATGGCAGAAAGAAGGGTATGGGGAAGAAGTACAGAAATCAGTTGAAGCAGGAAAACAAAACTTAAACAGATCTGAAACTCCACCACACCCCCATAGTTACATGGCCAGTGAATGAGACAGGGAGCACAGGGGAAGTACGTGGAGCAGTCCCAGCCATCATCATCCCAGGGACTGAAAGCCAGAATTTAAGCAGCCAATGAGTTTAGGAAGGTGAATCAAACAAATTTAGTCTAAAAACCAGCACTGTCAATGATCAAGTCATGAAGAATAAGTGAAGTTAATGCCAAGCAAAGCAATATAAAGGCTTTTCTTAAAATGAAATTTAATTAAGTAAAAACTACACTTTGTTCCGTGTTTCTTTGTAAAGATGACTGAACACAAAGTGTACAGTTGAAACACTAGAAAACAGACTTCATTCTATACTGAGGACATTACATAGGAAATAAATGCCTAAGGGAGAAGCACAACTGTATCTGGGTATAAGACAGTGCAATTCCTCACATCTGGGAAGAGCTCAAAAGAAAAAATTGCAGGCCTCTCAAACACTGTGTGTGCATGTGAGTGTGCGCATGAACAGCTGAAAATCCAGTCCAGGGCCTTGTGCATACTAAACACATGGCTCTGCCACTGAGCTATACCCTGAGCCCCTCAACCATATTTTTAATAGAAAGATCTCACTTAAGTCTAAAGTAAGCAAGACTCATTTTATGCAATCCTTACAGCAGGCTTGACAGGTCTAAACACTTCCTTTTTATCTTCAGGTTTTTTTGCTGCATTTTCAAGGCGCTGAGATGGAGAGCCTTCAGACTTGGATGATGCTGTTAAGTTCAAAAGAGACAAGAAAGACACATATAAACATAAGATGTATGTCACTGAGCTGTCCCAACTCACACAGTCTTCAGTTTCTCCCCCTTTTCTACTGCCCACTTCTATTAGCCCCACTCATGCAAGGTCTGAACTCAGGGCAAAAGGGAGATCCGAAGGCAGTCTGGTATCTTTCTAATGCCTTATTCAGAATTCTCCATCAGCATACACTACTGAATGTATGCACCAAATTAATACCTTACGTCAAGAACACAGTGGAGGCAGTTTTCACTACTATGATATCATCAATAATAATCATCAATAATACTGGGGAGAGCAATGGCCCTGGAGCTCATATTGGAAGAAAGGGGTTCAAATGGCAGCTTAGACATTTAGTTATGTTGGACAAGTCAGTTAATCACATTCAATTGTAAAGTGCTGTCAGTGATAAACACGTGTAAAGCTCTCAAAATTTAGCTCTGTGATTAAATTATGATGTCTATTTTTGTCATTAGCAACCTATACTAAGGCACTGTTTCATGACATGCAAACCATAGATTTTTCTTATCTTTCTTCTTTTTTTTAAAACAAATGAAAGCCTTTCGATATAATGATCATAGCCCAGGGTTATTCACAAGGAAAGAGCAAAGGAGAAGCAGCCTACATCTCACTCTGAAGCGTTCCCCAGAGCCGCTCTGAGACCCAGGGTGGGACCCGGGCTGGGATCCTGAATTGCTGGACCCTGAAGAGCTGCCACTGCCTGGCCTGGGCACCAGCTTCTCCACTCTCTCCCACAGGAGCCTGGGCTCAATACTGCTGTTAGAAAGAAAAGACAACAGCTAATGCATCATCCCAAGACATAGTACCAAATGACAATCATATGCCTGAATTGTGAAAAGTAGGGATGAGAAAACAGCCTTAGACAACATTTCACATTAAATTCTCCAAAAGTTGTAGTGACTTTATTCATGGATTTTATCTTGGATATCTTAACCAACCAAAAATGCTAGCTAATTCCTATTCTTAAAACCCCTAAACTCCTCATTCAGGTCTGAAACAAAATGTGACTGTTCAGTCTAGAAACATCACTACTTCTGTCATTGCAAATTTAATTCAAGTCTTAATATTATGAAAAACTTTACTTATATAATTATAAACACACTTATCTCTTGGATCTAGTGTGCTCTCTCCTATCCATTGCAGCTCTCATACCCTAAACTTTCAAAGTACACTTCTTTAACTGAGCTGTTTGGGGAATATTACTGAAAGCACAGGCTGGGATGGATTTCCTGCCATAACCAGACAGACTCAGAGCACACATTTGCTGGGTAAAGAATTCATAACACAGACACAGTCACAGAACACCACAGCCCTCTCTGATCATAAATACTACGGGTTCTCTGAAGATCCTTGGTTATTATCCATCTCCCCACTTCAAGTTATACCAAGGCTGGGCACATGCAAAAGGCCAGCCTTAGAAAGGCTCAGTAATGACCAGTTATAAAACACTCAACAAAATCTCTCACCTAGCATAATGCTGGTCAAGGAGCTTTCTGCAGTGATGAAACTGTTCTACATCTGAGCTGTGTAGTATTCTAGCCCCTAGCTACATGTAGCTACAGACCACTTGAAAGGTTGCTGATCCAACTAAGGAAATGATGTATTAGTTTTATTTCATTTTAACTAAGTTAAATTCAAATTTAACAAGCCACACATGGCTAACAGCTACTACACTGGTGCTTTAGAACCAGAAAGCCGTATTATTTGGTTAATTCACTAGACTGTCAAATAACCATTGGCTATCTTTAGTTGCCTATCTATGATTTCTACACTATTCCACAGGACTTAAAACTTTCTTTGGATAGAAAACTCCATAGATTACATATCTCTTAGAACTTCTTTCTCTTCTGACAGTTCCTCCTTTTAATCAGGGTCAGTTTGTTTTAACTTCAAAATTACTACAATACACACCCAGATTCCAACCCTCTTTTTACTCTAGATCAAGTTGATGTTATTCATGTTTGTGAATAAATATTTATATAGATCTATCTGTGTAGATCTACATATATTTAAATCTCTTTGCCTGAGAATATCAATGTTTGTGTTTTTATTAAAACAGACAACATAAAACTATAGGAGAAATGCACTCTTCTTTACCTGGTGGAGTTTCTCTGCCCTGCTTGGCTATTTTGCTGTCCACTGCCCTGCAGTGGGGAATCCCGACGGGACAGAACAGGGGAGCGAGATGTTGTTCTCACAGGAACCTTTAGGTAGAAAATACAGCAGTTAAACTATAGAAAACCTGAGGTGGAGAACAAAGATCTCCCTACCAAATGTATTTTTAAGATAGTCATCAACCCACTCACTCCCTCCCTAATCTTCCTCTGGTCCTTCACTGGTTTAGCCAAAAGCATCTAAGGAGCCAGGACAAACGGCCCTGCTGTGCTCCTGCAACAATTAAATGATGTTTAGACTAAAGCTGCTGGCAGGGGACATACAAGAGCACTTTGCTGAGATAACATGAGAATCAGGAAAACAAGTTCAAGGAAATCAAATAATGGTCTTCAAATCGATCAGCAGAAAGCAAAGATTGGCAAGAAGCAAGGAAATATTCAGAAGAAGCAAATTCCAACTGGAAGAAAATTACACTAAAATGTGCCCTTTTGTTTAATTGTACCATTAAGTAATTACCCCCACCATCCAAAAATAAAAATAAAAAAACTTAAATTTTGAAAAAGAAAAACATTTTCATTGAGATTTGCATGTTAATCTTCATTAGAAGACCTTTTCTGAAAGTTTTGATATTGGTCAATTTTAAAATAATGTTGTATAGCCTCTTATAAACCTATGAATTATGATTCTATTTGTTCTAGAACCATATTCTTTAGAGTCTTCTCTGAATCAAATTTTGCTTTCTTATGTTTAAGTACAGAGTTAACAACAGCAAAAAAAGCTAATTGGCCACTGACTAAATATAACTGCCTAATTATAAAACTTGTTCCCCATGGTAAAAGGCTCCTTTGAAATTTCATTGCCCCTTTAATTCTGGTGAAATCACCATAACCATTATTAAAATAAATATTTTTAAAATAATAAAAAGGAAAAAGCAGCATACATCTGTCTTTCTGCTCCTTACCCTTGGAGGCACCTCGTCACTGTCTGATCTAGACCAAGCCTTTTGGGTGGGGTCAGGTACCTCTGACTTAGAGTCAGAGCTCTGACTGAGCACCTCACTGCGGGAAGGTGGACATGGGTCCTGAGAACGAAGATGGTGGTGTGCAAATTTGGGAGGAGAAGGGTCACTGAAGGAATGGGATCGCGAGACAGGGGAAACATTGTTCTTGAGAGATGCCAGGTGGGACCACTGTACCTTACAAGAAAACAAAACACAAAACATTCAATGCATTCTGCATAAAACTGGCTTTTCTGGTCAATACCAAATCCAAAGTAGGAACTGGCAAAAGTGGAATGCAAGTTGGGGCAGTATAATACAAGGTAACAGGGCAGTAAATCAGTTACAGGTCTAAATGAAAACGTGATCTGGGGAAAACAGTATGTTGAAAGAACAAATGTACATTTAATAAGGAAAACTCCTACTATCCAGACAAATGTTACAGATAGCAGTAAATGTCAAGATTTATAGGCCTGAAGTGGGGCAATGGACTACATGCATATTGATGTCAAAGCAGATACTAGAGAGGCAAAGAAAGGCAGAAAATAGATCTCAAGATAAACACTGTTTAGGCAAACCCACCTACTGTCCTCCTCATACCACCTGGCAGTGTTGAGATTTCAGACCAAGTAACAATACAACACACTGAATGAGCAAAGACAACCCCACCACCTGTTTTGAAAGACTATAACTTAAAAAAAAAAAAAAAAAGCCAACTTTGCAAATTTATCAACAATTTTTCTTATTTCTTCCCAGGGCTTAAAATACTCATACACCTTCACACTAGTTCTAAAAAGAAGAATGTGATTTCTTTAAGAACATTTAGTACTAGGGAAATCCCTAAAATGTCTGCTATTAGAATACTCCTCTTGGCAATTCGAGAATTGTGACAAATACTTGTCAGCTGAGTTTATCTGGGTACTTTTAGAGTAGGAAAACAGTCTCTGATAAAACCCATAAAATATTTTCACTAAATATAAACCTCATTCTTTAAAAATAATTGTTCCACATTCAACTTACATAATTCTAGCTACATATCTATTTTCTCAATGTATTTAATGAAAACAGAAAATACCAAATCACAACTTGTTTAACCTCTCAAGTATAAATAAGATGTAGAGTTAGTTCCATGTGTACAATATCTATAATTTACAGGTAAGCTTAAAATAATCCCAATTATTGGTTAATCCCAGACTTCTAACATGTTTGAGATTTTCAGGGGAAAGCATACAAATAAATTTTTTACCTGAAATTACAATCAATAATAGGGTTTAAAAGAGTCCCACATGAGTAAATTCTCCCCCTAAGAATGCATCATAGGTATTTGCTTCAGCCAAAATCAACTTCAAAATAGGAAGAAAGGAGTATTTCCATACAGTTAATTAATCATGAAGTAACTATTCAATAATTAAACTAAACATGAAATAACTCAGGAACTCCTATATTATACTGTTAGGGGCCAAACAGATTTTCCATTTGTGTTAAGCCTAATTTCCAGAACTGAAGCTTTTATTTTCTACTCTTCAAATCTATCTGTGCTGGGAAAGTGCCAAGTTGTTAAAGTACCATCTAACCTAGTCGACTTGCCCCTCTTCTTTTACCTCTGTTTTCCTCTTTCCTGTCTTTTCCTTTTCATCCCTTATTCTCCTTGCAGACAGGCCAGCTCCTCTGTTGATCCCATGTAAATCCTCCTCACCCACACACCACTGTCTTTGCCTCAGTTGTATTCTTCTTTCTTTTTGTTAACTCCTCCTGGCTGCAGTTCCCCCGCATTGTTCAAGGAGATTATTTACTGTGTATCACTCTAAAGCTATCAAGTAAATGTGTTTTTCAGAACATTACTGCTACTTCTGTCTCAAGAACACAAACTTTTGTCCCCTACACACACAAATCCCCCTGACAAGGACACCCAGGCTTAGGAACCTGAGTTCCCAACATTTTGGATTCCACAGTACCAAGGGAGAAATGTCTAAATGTCAGCTATTTTCAGGGAGATAGCAAAATAAGTGTTTCAGGGCTCTCTGAGATCTCTGGCCTAGGAAATTTTTGCTGTTCTACAGCATAGCAACTTGATATTAAACCCAGGGCTTCCAACATGCTAGGCAAGGAATGCATTCCCAGCCCTTTTTATTTTTTACTTTCAGACAGTCTAAGTAGTTGAGGCTGGCCTCAAACTTCTGATCCTAGAAGCCTCAACCACTAGACTGTCTGAAAGTAAAAAAATAAAAGGGCTTGGAATACATTTTGCCTCATGCAAGGATCAGAATTACAGGTATGCACTACTGCACCCAGCTGCAGCTTTTCTCTTTAACCATATACACTCAGACCAAAGGTGCTCCCTCACCCAGAAAAGGCAGAATGGCCTAGATGGCTTCCTTTAGAGAAATTCATGCCCAATCTGCTGTATCATAAATCAAAGGGATCTTGAACCTTTTGAGAATCTGATAAAAGGCCCTTTTCAAGAAATACATGCATATTTAGACAAAAACATCTGCACAGAATTTCAGGAATATCACTGGCTCCTTAAGGTCCACTCAAAGCAATGGGTAGGAGCCAGGGGTCACATAGCAAACACTTTTAAAATGCTTGGGAGAAAAGGTTCTGGTTCTTCTCTTCATGTGCTTATAATATTAACCTTCTAAAAACTAAACTAAAAAGTCTTCTTGTTTTAGAAAGAGAAGGAGGCATTTCATATCTGAGGGAAGGCAAGAAAAAGAAATTACTGACTCTAAATATCCTTACTAAGTTCAACCAAAATCCTTTAAAAAAAGGTTTCCTTTTTTCCTATCAATTAGAGACTCTTGCTTATCTTTTTTTTTTTCTTTTTCTTTTTTTTTAAAAGTTTGTCACTTAGTAACAAACTAAGGGTGGCTGTTATAAGAAGGCCCAAGGCCCAGCGAGCCACACAAGTTTCCTCCACCACGGAAAAGCTGGCTGTTGCTACCTGTGGCTCCGCTGGTCTCTGCAGGGCAGGATGCACAGACTCGGAGTTGCCATTGGAAAAAGACTCTGATCGAGAAGGCACTGGTGGCTCCAATACTCTGCCTGTCTGCTTAGACTGGGCCTCAGGGGAGCTGTGGTTAGTTTTCCTAAATCTATCTTCCACCTGCAGCAGAGAATTAGAAGACATAACTCTGTGTTAGTAGGGAAAAGCAGAGATGTCAAAGAAAGTCTGAAAGTGGAAGAACTCTAAAAAGAAACTTTCTGGTATTTTTTTCCCTCAGCTATATGAAAAGAGAAACGCAGTTTGATGGCAAAAAAAAAAAGGCAGATAGAGCAGGGCTGGGATTTGACTTCGGAAAAGTACTTATGAAAATAAAAATTAAGCACTGCAGCCTCTAAGATCTCTGTGCCCAGGGCTTTAGGATTATACATAATGATACGCTAGAGGGAAAAAATCTGTCAAAACCAACTAACCCAACAGATTAAAGACTATCATCAGGAATCCAAAACATATTTCATTCCTCAGAAAATAAAGGCATTTCAGACAGAGCCATTTCATTCCTCAAAAAATAAAGAGCATAACACTTTCAGACCAAGCATAACACTTGTTAGAACTGCTACTTCTGAGAAAAGACAACAGTGGAAGGATGCCACCTACAGGCAGGAAGGAACTCAACTTGTGGAAACACACCAGTCCCACCTGCCCAACAACCCAGAACAGGGTGTACTTTGCTGCATCCAATGCGAGGTTCGGTTTAGCCCAGAAGTATCAGTTGATTCAGTAACATACAGGCCTAAAGGCACTCTTCCTCCTGGTATTAGTTGTGGAGAAACAGTAAACCAAGACTACCATTTCTCTTGTTTACATTTTAGAGAATTATTCTGCATAAAATCAATCTTCACTTAGTTTAGCTTTCAATTCTTAAGATCTGTTAACTAAGGTACCCTGGTCCTTTATAGAAAAAGCACAAACCAGATAGGAGAGCTTGGACATTTACATCCTCTACCAGCTAGAAAATAAAGGTGGACTATCAGCTGATCTTAAGAAGACTTATTCCACCATTAACACTGTACTACTCCGAACAGTCAGTAGATTACTTTCCAGAGCAGGACCAATGTCTAAGCAAGCAAGAAGGAAGATACCTCACGAGTTCTGTCAGCAGGCTCATAGTGGGACTTGGGCTCTGGGCTGTGGTAGCTGGGTTTGCTTCTTTCCTGTTGTGCCAGCGGCTGCTGCTGCTGCGGGAGCTGCGGATGCGGCCTCCTGTGGTCGTGCTGTAGAGACAGGAGATATGCTTGTTCTTGTTGCAACTGCCTCTGGAGCCTCTCTGCCTGCCGGTGCTCCTCCATCTCCCGCCATCGGCACTCCTTGGAGAGGGAGAGGATAACACTAAATCTATGGGACACTGGAGAGCTCGCCTCTTCTCTGGATTTGTGCTTGACTTCCTCCCCCCCACCACCACCAAGACAATCCCCTGGCCTCCCTCTTGTTTTATAACACAGCAAAATGGCTGGGATCTTAAACAGAATATTACCTGTGGAGAAATATGATGGCTCTTGTTAAGTATAACATCATTGGAGAGCATGAGAGAATTCAATTTAATGTTGATTTCACAGTGTGTATACTAGGTATAAATCCTACAGCATAAGCTGCATGTTCGCTGAATGTCAAGTCCTGTTCAACACCTTGTGTAGCTACTAAACAAGAACAGTTACTACCTAACAGTGACTTACTAATGGGAAGTAAATGAATAAATAAAAGCCACCTTGCACTGTACCCAAGCAGTCTGACCATAAAGGATGTCTCCATTTGAGCCTGGCTGCCCAAGGCAAAACCAAAAAGATCTGGCAATCACCACAGCTTGACAACTTGGGGAAGGGACAAACACGTCCTAGTGCTAGGGAACAGGACAGAGGTGGGGCGTTACCAGTAACATGGCCTGCTCCTGGAGCAGCTGCTGCTGAAGGATTTCCAAGTGCCGCTGCTCCTCTTCTAGCTGTCGCCTGATATACTCCTGTCACACAGAAATTACCCAGCAATCAATTTATCCAAAAGAAAAGTATTAGATCAACCTGCATGGAGCACCAAGAACTGCCACTCCAATCATCTTTGTGATAATTCACTCAGTGATAAATACCTAATCTAAAAACACTCTATTGCTAAGGATTTTCTCAAGATTTTCAAATTGACCAGTAAGATCCCAAGACTTTTATACATTCCAATGATATATACGAAGGTCACTGAGGCGTTTCTGTTAGGACACCACTATCATATACAATGAAGAACTTTAGAGGATGCCATCCTCTTACAGATGATAGACTCCAGAAAAACTAAAACTAGGAAAATCAGAAGGTTCTAATTAATAAAAGTCTGCTTATTAATTATGATTTAATACAAGAATGGCTCGTCAATTTTTGAAACCTAAAACCAAAAACTGTTTAACATAAAAGAAACATGACTTATGCTTTCTCTGATAATTCAGAGAAGGTACCTGGAGACTCTATTCTGAAAGCCATGGTCTGGGAACATCAGACTTGGACAACTCTCTGCAAATAAACAGGCCTAAGCTCTTCAAAATGATGCATGCAGAAGTGTGTGTGTGTGTGTGTGTGTGTGTGTGTGTGTATGAGTGTGTGAGGGATGAAGATGGCTTTTATAAGAAGAGAATAACTAACAGGTAAACGAACCCAAAATACATCACGTAAAGAGGGAAAGACTGCATCTTAATGTTGCGTGCATATCATATCATATTATATTATTATTAGGAAAAGAGATCACGAAGCCTTGATCCCTCTTCCAGGAGGGATCAGCTCTATGACTTACTATACACTCTCAACCTTCCATTTTTTTTTCAGTCACTTCACTTGAAAAATGAGCATCAAAGATTTCTCCCAACTCTCATGTTTGTGTAAGGTTCAAATAGGAGACAGTTATGAAATAACACTGAAGAGCAAATGACATTTTAAGTAAAAGAAGTTTCCTTCCTTTTTGACAGTGAAAAAGGCTGCCTACCCTGGAAGGGGAACAGACTAAGGGACATACGGAGAAATTTATTCTAAAATTCAGGTTATGTTTGTTTTTGTTTTGTGATGCTGGAGATCAACACCAGGACCTCGGTTACATTTCTGTAGTGTGTACAGCTGACCATCTCCTTCTTTCATGGCACATACCTTAAAATAAAAATAGTCATAGGTATAGGCTGAAAGGAGGTTTAAATTAACCAACAATTCTGGCTAAGAAAATCAAAGATAATACAGAAATCATGACATATGTAAATATCCATAGAGGCAAAAAAAGCCAATGGGTGTGTGTGTGGGGGGGGGGTGTGCTTATCCATAAAGTCACTGGCAAAGGTACCTGGTTCTGATTTGAGCATCATTCCCTTTCATTTATGCCTGACCCTACATGATCACACTATGCCAATAATTGCCTTTGCGATGGTCATGCAGGCTTACCCAATCTAAATGAGAAAAGGGACCTGTCTCCCAACTCATTCCTTCTTTTGAACAAAACAGAATTAAATTCTAGCTTGAAAGATCAAGTTATTATACTTATTTGTTTTCTGTCTTTAAACCACAGGAACAAACAGAAAAATCACATCTTATCCAAACCACAAAGGTCCTCCTGATGTACAATGAACATATAGAATACAACAAATGTATACAGATAGACACACTTAGGAATGAAATGTGTCCTATAGCACTGTTAACATGGAAAACCTATTTTACAACAGAACAAGAAAAGCAGAGCAAAGCTGATTTTAGAATTTTTTCAAAAGAACTGCAGAATACTTGCTATTTACAAAATCTAATGACTACTAATTAATGATGCAGTAAACATCATACTCTCCTGTCACTATCAAATTATAACTATCCCTAGGTAATTTTTTTGGCGGGGGGGGAAGAAGGGAGGGGTATACCGGGGATTGAACCCAGAACTCAGGGGCACTCAACCAGTAACCCACATCCCCAGCCCTTTTTTGTATTTTACTTAGAGATAGGGTCTCACTGAGTTACTTAGGGCCTCAATAATTTACTGAGGCTGTCTTTGAATTCCCTATCCTCTTGCCTCAGTCTCCAGAGCCGCTGGGATTATAGGTGTGCAACACCATGCCCAGCTAAAGTTGGTTCTTAATGTCCTCATATTTAATATATCACCCAAAATGAATAATGAGGTAGATATTCAGTATTAGGAACTGATAAGTATTTATTGAAGGATATACTAGATTTGACCAAGTGAATTCTAAATTGTGAATATATTTCCTTAAGATGATTTATTTCTCAAATGACCTATTATAGGATTTTTCCCCAAAAGACTAGTTAAAAGCTTCTTATTTTAGAAATTATTTCCATAGAGTAGGACACTAGGATATCATGTAGCACTGTAAAAGTCACACTCTAAATTTTGTCCCAATAATTTGAGTCTTCAGATTGTTTCTCAAAATATTCCCTACCATATACATTCAAAGAATAAGATACACTAGTCTTTGATTACCTTCTTGTCCAAAGTACAATACACATAAGTGATAATTTTAATAACTGATTTTTAAAAGGATTAATATCAAATAAGGATGTTAATTATTGACTTTTCAATAATCAAAACACTATCTATATCGATATGCTGCAGTTTAACTTAATTTTAATTAAAATATCTTAAGTGTATTTTTCTTAAATTAACAGGAATTATTTAATATTATAGATTGAACATAAAATTTTATGAATATGAATGCTCCAATTTGAATACCAAAATGTTTAGTTAAATTAAAGCAATGTTTTAATTTTATTCAAAATATTAATTAATGTAATTCTCATAGGCACACTATCATTGCTCCATTTTATAGATAAGGAAATGAGGATACAGATCGCTTAAAAAACTGAAACATAGGGCTGGAGTTGTAGCTCAGTGATACAGCACTTGTCTAGTATGTGTGAGGCACTAGGTTTGACTTTCAGCACTGCATATAAATAAAATAAAGGTCTATCAACATATATATATATATATATATATATATATATATATATATATATATATATATATAAACTGGAACAGAAAGTAATTGATGGAAACACAGAGCATAAAGAACTGAGAGCAAAGTCAGGTCACACAGCTATAGGGTTCATATTTGGATTTTGTTGACTTACCACCTAACTGGAATTACATGATCTCCAAAGATATCTATGCAATGGGCATTACTTCTATTTCCTATTGACTGCCATATTTCTCTATGCTTCATTATCACTAGGCTTGTTAGTTATCTAATTTTCCAATTCAACTTTTTTTTAATTTGATTTTTTAACCTTCAATAACATCATTTTCATATTAAAATGAGATCACCTCATTTTTTTTTCCTCTAAGAAGGCTATTTTTTTTTGGGGGGGGGGGGTTACTGGGGATTGAACTCAGGAGCACTCAACCACTGAGCCACATCCACAGACCTATTTTGTACTTTATTTAGAGACAGGGTCTCACTGAGTTGCTTAGGGCCTTGTTTTTGCTGAGGCGGGCTTCAAACTCATGATCCTACTGCCTCAGCCTCCTGAGTTGCTGGGATTCTAGACATGGGCCACCATGCCGGGCTCCTAGGTAATTTCTTAAAAGCTGGTATTTCCTCCTCTTTGCAGCCCACAGGTAAATACATGGCCAGAATGTTAATAAAACACACACAGACACATATATAACGCTATAGTTAAATGATCAATAATGCCAATACGGTAATAGATAAAAGAGTAGCACTGAAATTCCTATGAAAACATTAGTGATCAAGTCTCCAAAAAAACCAGAGGCACACTATTAGTACCAAGGACAGTAGATTAGACATAGTTGGAAGTTATCACTATGGTTTATAAGTATTTTAAATGTGAATTTCAAATATTATTTAAATCGGTCCCCATCATATAATTTTCTTTATTCAAAGTTCAAAACAAAGAACAATTAACTTAAACATTAGAAAAGCAAGGAAGCTGGGCATAGTCAATTTTTGTTTACAAAAGTGGTTCACAAAACAAAATTTCTAAATACAGCTATCCATGCTATTAATAAAATCCTATAATTGAACCATGCAAAGTTGTTACTTTTTTAATGCTTTTTATGTATATATCAACTTATAAGCAGATACATCAAATATTCACTTAGTCTGAATTTTTTTGGAGACCACTGAGCTGATTCAAGGATTTTCTAAGATGTAATACCCTAGAAGATTTTTCTTTCTTTTTTTTTTTTAAGACAAGAGACTCAACTTATTAGCATGCTTCCATGTGCTTCAGCATTTTCAGATGTCCAACGTTCTGAGTGTGTGCAGTATAGTATATGTGCATAAGCATACACACGTGAGTACATTTTACCTCAAACCCCCAGCTTTACAAAGTAACAATCTTCACAAATTAATGGCTGCAGCACTCTTGGACTCACCTGTTCTCTTTCCGCTCTCCTCTTCTCTTCTTCCGCACGCCTCCTCTCCTCCTCCTCTTTACGCCTTCTCTCCAATTCCTCTAGACGCCTCTTTTCTTCTTGTTCTCTCCTTCGCTGCTCACGTTCTTGCTGCCTTCTAGCTTCTCGCTCTCTCCTTTGTTGCTGCATAAGTAAAAATGTGTGATTACCAGGGATCTTTCAGCTGTGTCTTCCAGAATAGTTTGCTAACCAGTCAGTTACTGACAATGTAGTGAAGTTCAAAGATCCCAATTCTACTGGGCAATTATTTCCACACTTAACCCCTTAGCCCTGTATCTAACAGCCTTTGCATAAATACTCATCAAAGATTCTATGTTTCTGTGAATACTTTGAGGGTTTTGATTTTGTTTTAATAACAATTATCCCCACTGCTCACTGTACCATAGCAATTACAAAACTACAAATTCTTTATTTTGGGGTTACTCTGTCATTAACAGTTCTTCGAGGCCATTAAGTCAGAAGAAAAATACATAAGGGAAAGGAATAAAGGAGGATACAGGACAATTGAAGGGCACCAAGGAATAAAAGAGAAGAAAAGAAGCATGTATCAGAAAAGGAAGAAATGACATTAGCAAGAGTAACAGGCACCATCATCATTACTATGAATTTTAAAATGCAACCACTGAGCTCCTTCTTACTACTAAGTACCTGGCACTGTGCTCAGTATTTGACTTTTTAAATTTCATTTACTTCACCTAATATCCTTCTCATAACAACCGTAAGTATCTCATTGCATCTCTACAGATGAGAAAACAGTTTAGAAAGTTAAATAACTTGCCCAATGTCACCAGCAGCAAGCCACCAGGTGTAAAAGCTATTTTGCCTCTAAAGCTGATGCCCTTGACCACATACCACCCTGCATCTGTCAGCAGGTGCACACAGTGCACCAAGTCACCAAAATCACTTTATCACTGCTCCATATAATCCTATAGTACAGAACATTAGAGCCAGCCACTAGCTCCTAAACTAACAGTTTCTCTCACATAGGGAAGTGAGAGTGTGGTGCTCAATATGGAGTCTAACACTGACCAAATCGTCCCATGAATATGAAAAATGACAGGCCCTTGGCCAGCACTGTCCAACAGAACTCCCTGGAGATAATGAGAATGTTCTGTTTCTGAAATGATCAATACTATAGTCACTAATGGCCCTAGTCATCAATACTGAGTGCCACTGAGCCCCTGAAATATAAGCAGCACAGAGGAAGAACTGATTTTTTTCACCTTTTCGTCTAATATCCCCCCAACTTTACTTCAAACATTTATAGTTACGCTCGGTCTCCCAAATCAAGTTTGTGGCGATAGTGTCAGTTTGGTGTCTCAGAAATGTGCTGGCTATGTAGCCTCTAGAGCTGTGCTGTTCAATGTTATAGCCATCAGCTACATTTGGACATTTTAAAGTGAAACTCAATTTTGAGTGAAATAAGATGAAAAATTCAGTTCTTCATCTATGCTTACCTCTCCCCCTTCTACCCCTGTCTGAATTACTGACACCTACTGTCCTTCACACATGCCCTCTGGTCAAATGTGCTTTGACTCTTTAAGTAAAAGCATTCATTCTTTCACTGGACAGTAAGTTCCCCCACTACTAAAAAAACAATGTATAGAATCCACTTTCTTGATTATTCCCAAGTGCACCAAGGGAAGGGCAACCTGCATGAAAGGAAATCTTGACTATTTCCTCTAACTAAATGCTGTTTGGAACCACCATTTGACCCAGTTATCCCACTTTCTGGTCTATAACCAAAAGACTTAAAATCAGCATAGTACAGCGACACAATCACATCAATGTTTTCAGCAGCTCAATTCACAATAGCCAAGCTATGGAAACAACCTAGGTGTCCTTGAACAGATGAATGGATAAAGAAAATGTGATATATAGAGATAATGGAATACTACTCAGCCATAAAGAAGAATGAAATATGGTATTTGCTGGTAAATGGATGGAACTGGAGAATATCCTGCTTGCTAAGTGAAATAAGCCAATGCTAAAAAACCAAAGGCCAAATGTTCTCTCTGATTGTGAATGCTAACTCAAAACAAAGGAAGTTGGGGAGGGGAATAATAGAAATCCACTGGATTAGACGAAGAAAAACATAGGAAAGGGAGTTTTCGGGGAATAGGAAAGATAGTAGAATTAAACAGTCATAACTTTCCTACCCTTGTATTTGAATATAAGAACAGAGTAACTCCACATCATGTAAAACCACAAGAGTGGGATCCTAAATAGAATAAGTTCATTTTATGTATGTATAATCTGCCAAAAGACACTGTCATATGTAACTAAAAAGAATTTTTAAAAAATGTTCTTTAGAATGCTCTTAAAAAGTAACACAAAGGATTTTTTCCAACATATTTGTCATCTAAATTTCTTAATAAAAATATTAAGTAGAAACTTTAAAATGTCAAAAGGAGACAGACTATATAGCTTATGTCAAAAACAAGCTGTCCAGGCTGGGGATATAGCTCAGTTGGTAGAGTGTTTGCCTTGCATGCACAAGTCCCTGGTTCAATCCCCAACACCAAAACAAAACAAAAACAAAAACAAAAACAAAACAAAAAAAAAGCTGTCCTATTTCCCTAACTCCCAATCCTTACTCTAAAAGGATAAGTATTTTTAAAGCTTTCAAATTTGCCCCCATTATTTCTATCTTCCTTTATTTTTCCTCTTTCCACATTTTTTTATTGGTGCATGATAGTTGTGCTTAATGATGGGATTTGTTACACATTTGTACATGTACACAATATACCAATATAACTTGACAATTATCACTTGCCAGCACATCCTTCTTTGTAAATAACTCACATATGGAGCTATTTTTAAATAACTTTCTACCTTAGACACCATCTACTGTACTACCCCATCCAGTCCATATTTCCAATCCAGTATGACAATTTCTGGATAAGTAAAAACTACATGCATGACTAAGACATGTATGACTAACTTTCCTTTTATTTTTTTCCAGAAGTTACTACTAACTGCCTCTTTTTTATGTTGTTTTTTATTTGATTTTCACTGGATCTATAATAAAATTACTGAGTGCCTTGCATTTTTTAAAAAAAAACTCCTTTCAATATTGTTGAAGAATTAGTCATTTTTTATCTTAGAGATTAAGACTCTATACACTCTATACACTAAACTATTCACTTTTCTTCAGTAACTCTATATTTCTGACCATCAACTTCCTGGGAATCATTTTACACTCTCCTGGATAGGATCCTCTGTTACCTAGAACCCTTATGATTTTCTTATTTTGCTGGAACACATCCTCCAACAGCCTCGTGGGAAAGAGTGCAGAAGAGGTAAAGGCTGTGAAAACTGTCTCAAAATCTTTCTTTCCTCTCATGATATACTGACAATTTTGGCTAAGGAAATAATTTCTCCTCAGAATCTCAGAGTTAGAATGTTATCTTTTAGTTTCTCGTCCTGAATAATCTAAGACCATTCCAGTTTCCCTTTCCTACTCTACTGACTGCTTCCCAAACGTAGCTTTTAGAACCCTCTTTTCGTCCTCAGTTTCTAGAATTTCAAGTGACTATGTTCCTTTACATGGTCCTTTTCTTCACTCATGTGCTATGTAACTGATGAATCTTTCAATCCAGAAACTGAGTTCTAGAAACTTTGTTTTAATTACTTTCTGTACATTCTCCCATCATATTCAATTCTAGGATGTCTATTAAACAGAAGTTGGACCTTCTGTATTATCAATTATATTAATCAAATGTATCTCCCTCCTTTCTGAGTTAAGTTTTAAATGAAGAATTCTTTTCATAAATAATCTTGTTTCATGAATAATCTTTTCTCTAAGGATAAGATTTTGTATAAATGCATGTGTATATGCATTAGGTGCATCCTATTTTAAGTTCCTTTTTGTATTTTTTTTTTTTTTGAAATTTTTCATGTTAAAGACTTTTCTTAATGTTTGTAATCTTGGCTATATACTTACTAAAATGTGAGTATGCCAAAGATACTAAAAGACACTAAAATGCAAACCATAAGGGTTAATAGGTGGACCACATTTGGCAACTATGATCATTTCATGGAAGCCTCATTTCCTTGCAAATGGCCAGTAAGGTCCAGAGAAGAATCTTCCCAATATTCTGGGAATCATCCCAATATTCGTCTGGAGTTGAAGAAAGGATGTGGTTGAAATAGGTGGCATTTGTAATAAGTGTGACTGTCAGCACCCTGGGGACTGAGTGAGGTGAGCACATTTGCAATCACATTGATCAGGAGATTTTCACTAAATGCCTTTTTTGCTGTACATCCCTTTGCATGCTCAGCTGTGCCTGATTTCTCCATGTTCTGAGTTTCTTTTGCTCACTTTCCCAGGGAGAATACATGTGGCCCTGCTGAGGTACGAGCACAGTGGCCTGGCTGCACAGGCTGGGAAGTCTTAGCTGTCCTCTCTCTATATTTCCCCCACCTTCAAAAAAATCCTGCTTTCCTCCATTTGTGTACAATGAATCAAAATACATTCTGCTGTCCTATATAACTAATTAAAACAAATTTTTTAAAAATCCTGCTTTCAGCCCACCTACTGCTTCCCACTTCTGACTCTTCCAAGATTTGTACTAAGAATCAGCATTCTTCCATGCATTAATTTCCACAATTAGGTCTCTTTTCTGCTTTTTAAAAAAATCCCTGTTGTTTATGCTGTTTTTTACTTTTTCAGTCATTTCAGAGGGACTTCTCTATGAAAGTTTCTGTTCCATTGTTTTTCAAAGTCAATATAACTAAATATTTATTCAGTTAACTAAAATAATTAAAATTTATTATTTACTCAAAAGACATTAAAAAAAAGGAAGCAAACAACATCTCAAAAAAAAGGGACAATCTATCTAAAAAAATCTCAATTAGCAACCAAAAGCTTCCAAAAGGCCTTTCCTTCTTAATTTCATGTGAAATCTTAAGGCCTTAGTAAATTGCTTGAAAGCAGGAATCACTTTTTTTCAATTTTTCCCCCTGTTGTAAATCATCTTCACAAGAAGAATGCATTATTTTGTGGGGAGATCAGTTATAGGGCCTCACACATGCTAGCCTATACTCTAACAAGGAGCTACTCCCTCAGCCTGTGCATTACTTTTATTTTTCCTAATTAAATCTCACCCTCACACCAAGCA